CAAGCAAGAGGGGAAAACCATTAAGCAGTGTGAATGTGAAAAGAAGTAGTTCTGTTGCATGGCTGAGTTTTTCCGCTCGCCGAGAAAGTCAATGAGACTTGAAAAACAAAAGTAACAGTAGCCGTGGGCAGGGATGCTGTCGCATAGTTGGCAAACTGCGCGGCGGCTGCCGTAGAGCTGGAGGTTGGATGTTGCTGTAGTTAGCCCATGTGGTGTGAGAGGCTGTCGCGGGACCGTGAACGTTCTCTAATGTGAGTGGTAGTGTTGGTGTGGGTTGCCGGGGTGGTTTGTGGTGGAGGGCCTGTCCAGTATGAGTGCAGGCGTGCTGCGTCTTGTGGTGGGGTACGTGGTGAAGGAGAGGGTGAACGGCTGGAAAGCCCGGGTGGTAGTGGAAAACCTGGCGGTATGTTGTGGATAATAGCCAGGTTTCTGCTGGAGAGTGTGGCTGCGGGGTTGATGCGGTATTGTCCTGGGAGCCCGGGGCCGGTGGTAACGAATTGAAGGAGTCGACGAGCCTGGGAGAGGTCATCGATCAGGCGGTCCAGCAAGATCAGGTCGCCGCGCAGTCGGTAGAGGAGGTTGTATGCTCTCTGGTCTTGAAAATAAGTCTGGCTTGGCATAGGTTCAGTGTGGAATGGGTGACGGCGGAGGTGTTGGTTGACCATAAAGAGGAGGTCCAAAGAGCCGTTGAGGGATTGAAAATCGGGTTGGGTGCAAATCGAAGGTTGGAGCCAGCTCGGAGGGCACTGTGGGAGGTAGTGTTCTGTATCAGCGGGGTTGCTATGAGGGCGAGCGCGAGGATTGGCCATGACAATTGATGGACTGAGATGGCGTACAAAAGGCTGCGGAGCTGAAGTGAGCCTGAAAACTGACAAAACGAAGTTGGGCAACGTGGTGAAAAAAGACTGGGTATGAAGAACTAAATGTCAGTGCATGTCAGTGGATTTGTCGTGCGGCACGCCGTAAGGAAGGTGGGTGAAACGGGTCAAGTGAAATAACTGCCAACTGGCGTGAGTGGAGATTTCTCCGGATGACTGTCTTCACTAAGGGCTCGCTCAGCAGCCGGCGGCAGCAGCACAGCAGCAGGAGTCGTTGGATATTGTGAAGTCGGTGGCGTTGTTGTGGGGGAAGGGGAGAAATCCGGTTGTGAATGTGGTGCTGGGGAAACTGCTGGTGATGTGGGTGTTGGTGAGGGGGAAGGTGCTTGTCTTGGTGGTGCGGTTGGTAGTGGTGTGGAGAAGAGTTGCTGGTCCTGCTGACGTTGCATGTCTTTGAGTTCTTGCCATCGGGCTTGGCATTGCTCAACGGAGAAACCCACTCTGCGGGCCACAGTGGTCCAGTTGGGACGAAGTTTGGGGTTTTCTTTGAGTTCGACCAGGCGACAGTCAGCGTCGCCGTCCCAAGCATCCCAGTCCGCCTGTCGGTTCAAAGGTGGTGGGGGTGGTTGCTTCCGCTTGCGTGTTGTGGTGGGTTGTGGATCTGGGGGTGTTGTTGGAGTGTCGTCTGAGTCTTGTAAGGGTGGCGCTGGTAAACGGATGGGTGGTCTGGATGGTGCTGAGTCACAGGATGAGGTGGTGGATGGTAAACGTATAGGGTGGTTGGGCGGAGTTGGAAGTGGCTGAAAGTGTTGGCGGAAAGTGGGGTCCGCTTGGTGGCTGTGGTGGAGGAAAACCGTGTGGAGGTGTGCTACAATATCTGTTGCTTGTCGAAGCAGGTTGTGCACCTGCGAAAGTGCCACTGCGGTTCTGTGTATGAGAGTTGAGGTGTCGTTTTGTAGAGGTGTCGGTGTGCTGCTCATGAGTCTGAGATGTAGGGGTGTACAGTGGTCAAGAATCGTCACAGGTTGCTGCGGCAGCGCGCCAAAGCAGCCGGACAGCGGCGAGTCTGAGGGAGCGCGTCATCACGAGGCCGTGCATATGAATTAAGCGAGCATCAAATTCCCACAGGCAAAAGTGCGAATATGCAATGCCGGTTGGACAATTAAGTACATGACTCAATGAATCACTCTCCACGATGCAGAATCTGACATGTGAAAGACTCCATCAAAACAGCCGGTACAATTCGAAAAAAGATGTTCTCAGCAAACACTGCAGAGCTAGAAAAATTGAGGGTTCAAAATTCGCGTAGCCGCTGCAGGAGGCTCTTTTTGCTGCTACAGCAAAGGTTGGGTGGTGGTGTGAGACCGAAAGTGGAGGTGGAGATGGTAGTGGTGTGTAGATGTGTGGTAGTGGTGTTATGGGTCCGGTGGAGTGGAGTTGGTGGACCAGGCCAGTCCTTTGACAATGGCGTGGTCCGGGTGGATCACCCAGCAGCGGCCCTTCTGATGAAAGACTGCACCATGGTGGTCGTTAAGGAGGTTCATGGCGTGTTCCTCACCTCCAGAGGTATATTTTGTGGCAGCACCCCAAGCAAGGAGTGTGATGATGAGGGAATGGGAATTCTTGTGGAGTTGCCAGGTGTTGTGGATGATGCGGGCAAGTTCGTTGTGGTCATGGGGTTGGTTGTGGGTGATGCGAACGCCCTGGGCAAAAAATCCAGGGTAGTTGGCAAAGTGGAGTGTGCTGGGTAAAAATCGGCCTTGGCGTAGAATGTTGGAAATGTTGCCGACGGGGCCTGTGTGGCCTGCGTTGATGTGGGCGACTTCCCGGTGGGTGGATGTGGCGCGGGAAACCGCAGGTGGCTCTGGTGTAGTGGCTTTGGTGTTGAGGAAGGGAAGTGAAATGGCGTAGTACTGGAATTGGTCGTATTGGTGGGTTGTGTCGTTCCACTTAGCGTGGGTATATTGTCGGAAATCGGTGATCTCCTTGTAGGTGATGTTGCAGTCTGTGAGGATATTGGCAATGTACTGGTGTTGTGGTCGGTTGGGATTATCGAGTTGGGTGGCATGGAATTCGAGCCATTCCAGAATCTGGTCTGCAGGTGTAAAGGTGTAAAAGTTGGGTGGAGGTCGCCAACGGTTGATTGGGCGACGGAGAACGGCTGTGGTGGGATATTGAGAGGGGTCCGGGTTGGAATGTTCGGTGTTGGGGCGTAGATCAATGGGTTGTGGTGGCGAACGACTGCGGGATGGCGTACGGCTGGATGTGTAGGTGGATGTTGAAGGCGACCGCCGTCGCCGGGTTGTGCTGTGATGTTTGGAGTGGCGGTGATGGCGATGTCGGCGGCGGTGGCGGTGGCGTCCTCTGTGGTGATGGTCGGACTTGCGTCGGCTCTTGTGGTGGTGGCGGCGACTGCTGTGTGGTGGTTGCGGGGAAGGTGGTTGCGGTGCTGGTGAGGCAGTGGTGTCAGGTTGGTCTGGTGCTGGTAGTGAAGGTCCAGGCGCTGGTGTGGCAGATACCAGCGATGGGGATGCTGAATGTTGGGATACGGTAGCTGGTGGAGGCGTGTTTTGGACTGGTAATGGATTGTCCTGGGCAGTCGTGGGGATGGGTTGGATCGGTGGTGTTGGATCCGATGGTGGCTGCTGTTGAGGTGGAGGTTGGGTTGGTGTTGAGGCGTTGATGGTTTGTGGAGGCGGTGGCGGGGGCAACGGTTGGAGAGGAGGCTGTGTGACGGGGGGGAAAAACTGAATAGGGTTGCCAAACGCCCTGGGGGATGGCGCATTGGGGGTCTGTGGATGGATAATTGGCAATCGCAGTCTGTTGCTGTGTTGGAGGGGGATGTGTCAGTGTAGTGGGGGGAGGGAGTTCAGCCGGTGGTGTGGGATGATGTGGTGGCAACAGGTAGGACGGGGGAGGTGCTGCTGTCGGAAACACTGGAGTTGGATGTGTGGGTTGCGGTGGCACGTGACATGGTTGGACAAAAGTCCAAGTGGATGGTGCGCCGTAAGTCAGTGCAGTGGCGGTAGGGTTGGACAAAAACGGTGGTGGTTGAAATGGTTGTGGTTGTGGATGAGGGTATGCCGGTGGTTGTGTCGGGGGAAAAATGGGTGCAGTTGATGGTTGTGGCATCGGCCATGTGGGTTGAGGTTGTGTGGTAGGTAAAGGTGGTGGCGTGGTGTGAGCGTAGGGCCACGGAAAATGCATGTCGTGGTCGTAGCTATGGCGCGGCGCGGCGCGGTAGCAAAAAGCAGCGGGGAAGTGCCGAGTTGTATTGTCTTGTTGTCGTTGAAGGTGTCATCTCTGGTGACAATGGTGAAAATGTTGTAAGGTGGTTCAAGATGTGAGCTTGTTGGTAGGTGTGTGTTCATGCATCTCGAATTAAGTTGAAAAGCTGTAATGCCCATCCTTGAGTTCTGTCGATGAAAGAAACGCGGCAGCAGTATAGCAAACATAGAAACACGCACATGATTGGAAGACATGAAAAGAAACTGAATGCTGAAATCTGAGATCGGAAAGTTGGAATCTGAAGCATTCTTTAAAACCGTTTTTTGGCCCGGCGGCCGGTGTGGCGGTTGATTCTGTGAGGGTGTCGGTGCCTTCCGGTGAGAGTCCAGTGAGCGGTGGTGCATTGGGGTGGTTGCTTTCCCATGCAAAATCGGCGCCCCAGTGACGGGGATCACACTCAGCACCCGAGTGGGACGGCTGAGCGGGACACACTTCGATAATTTGTATTCAGTGAACTCAGTTACCACGCTGGGAAGGAAGGTGAGGAACCGCAAGGTGAAAAGTCCGAAAAAACTTGTAGGTGTTTGAACAAAGGTTGTTTCCCTTGCTCTGCAGTTCACGAACGTGCGGCAGCTGACGGCGGCAATGGAAAGGTTTATGGGATGAAGACATGTAACCACCATGAAACAAACAAAGTGGATTGGAACAGCTTGGTCAAAGGTTGAGCGCAGGTACGTCGAAAGAGCGTCCTCTTTCGATATCCTAGTCTGATCCTGGAGCTTCGTTGGCTCACGCCAGGAAACAGACCCGTGAGCCCCCTGCCTGGGTAAAGTGGAAATAGTGGTGGTGAAGGACCCTTTGTCCAGGGTTGGACACACACACACACACACACACGTACCTATGCGATCCCAATAAGGTCTTCAGCCGCAAACTCCCCTTTCAGTGCCCAGATGCTTGGCAGAAAGGCGAAGTGCGGTTTGCTTGGCTCTGAGTTCCAAGTCATCAAGAGTGGAACTGTAGTTCTGAGGCACGAAGACGACCTGGGTCGGAGAAGGACGCTAGGCGATGCCACGGCGAGCCTGGACGCGAGCGATCCTGGACGCGGAGTCGGTGAGGACTCGGCGAGTAAACCCAAAAACGTGGTGAAGACGAAGGTGTCTGGCGTCCTGAGGTAAATAAACATATAACTTGAGCAGCAAGCCAGGCATATGATGGTGCAGGATAGACGTAGAAGGCAGGCGACAAATCAGGCAAAAGCCAAAACCGTCACTTGTTTTTAAAAAAACATATATATATATACTGTATATATAAAGAGAGAGAGGGAGATAGAAAGAGAAAGAGAGATAGAGAGAAAGAGAGAGAGCGGCACGCCATGGGGTAGCTTGCCCTCCATATCTGATACTGCAAAAAATACTACACAAATAAAGAAATCTACTTTTCCAGATATCCAGAGGAAAGCGTTTAAAATAAACGCGTGCATATAGAGCTTTTCAAATAGAAGTCACCATTGCTGGAGATCTAGAGGAAAGCTTTTGAAGGAAAGCTTTTGAAGCAAACGCTTTAAATATAGAAAATATTATTCCCAGAGATCTAGAGGACCGCTATTGAAATGAAGCTTTTATATAAGGTTTTCTAATATAGAAATGATTATTCCCAGAGATCTAGAGGAAAGCTTTTGCTTTTAATTCCAAAAGTATTATATATATATATATAGAAATGACTATTCCCAAAGATTACTTCCAAAAAATCTAGCTCCCTACTCAAAAACAGTGTTTTGACCTAGCTCTCAGCACTCCCAGGCCAAGAAAACACTGTAAAATACATGGTTTGGTAGCATTTGCTTTCTTAAACTCTTTCAAGTGGTAGCCTACCCTCCATATCTGATCTTAAAGTAGAATTCAATTTGGTGTGAATTGGAATTAAATTTGAATTGCATTACACCAAATTAGAATTAGAACTAAACTAAAAGAAATAGTTTAGGATTAAAAGTCGAGTTGACTCAAAACTGAACTGAATTAAATTAGGATTGAAGTAGAATTTAAATTAGGTTTGAATTGTAGAATTAAATTTGAATTAAACTAGAATTAGAATTAACGTGGATTTGAATTAGACATAGACTTGAATTAGACGTTAAATTAATGTAAGTTAGCAATTGAATTAAACTTGAATGAGAATCAAATGTCCATTACGCTAAACGTAAAAAAATAATCAGACTTCAATTAGACTAAATTAGAACAACATCAGATTTGGATCTGAGAATTTAGTCAAAATTGAATTGGCTATGAATTACAACTACAGCTCCCACATGTTCATTACAGTTTCAAGCTGCTTGGCAATGCAACAGCACTGATACCAACCAGAAGTCAATGCACAAAGACTTGTACATAGAGATTTGGACAAAAGGAAGTGTTGGGCTCAAACGCTTTCAATTGTAAGAAGAAAGAACAACTGACTTTAGGTGAGACCTAGGTTCAAATGCTTGGACCAAAGGTTGAACGAGATAGAAACAGCACAGATTGTCTTAGAAAGGAAACTCAAAATAGGAAATTCCAAACATATCAACCCGTGGGAAAACCAAAACACTAAGAACAAATCTGGGAAGAACCCTAAACCGCTTCCATATTGTTCATATGTTTCTACCTTGTTCATAGTATGAACATGTATGAGCAATTTATGCGAACGATTTTTATGGTGTCAAAACTGTTTTTTCAGTAAAGGTTACGACATGTTTGCTAATTTGTTGTGTCAGAATGTCTGAACAAATTATGCAAAGTTGAAATATCCACGCAATCATCAGTTTTCACATAGTAGTTAGTAGTTGCAACCATATAACAAACATAAATATATCGTGAAAGGGTTTTCTCTTTTTAAAACCAACTTCTAGGATCTCAGCTATAGAGCAAACTTCCTGGACCACAAGCGGGGTCTTGTGTTATGAGCATCGACGGCCAAGAACTGGGTATTTGCTTGACAAATAAATGAAACTTGACTTCTTCGGCGTTTTTGGTGTAGTTTTAGTTGGGCTCGGGCATTCTCTACATGGAATGATCACAATGACTGCTTCAAACAAGGGGTTGGGACTTTCATTTTTTGTCTTAGGCAGTCGGTTCGACAGTCCGCCATGATAATGACCCAACCACCCAGATCCAAGCTGCCGCGATCTCTTGGAAAAGAGCTCGGATGGCAATGCCGTAAAGCTTTACCTCTGGTGCCATTGGTGCAAAACGAGAATCGCACATTATATAATTACTGGAATTGCGTTCAAAAATCTTATGGCTTGAACTTAAGCTCACCACAATTCTGCCATCATCATGCTTCCGTCGCAACGAAATTACCAGGAACCATGTTTGATTGGGGAGTCTTTCCGTGTTCCCCGTGAACTCTCCACAATCCATCCCCTTATTTCCGGAACCGTCCGAATCGGGGGCTTCATCACTGCATCTCACTGCGCCTCGTCCTTGTTCAGGACCTTCGAGTTGAGATCGTCGAAGAAACAGGCCGATGGGATCATGAAAGCATCCTGGCCAGAGAAGTTTCAGGACCTTCTTCGGCAACAGTTCGGTCTGAGTTAACATCTTCCTTGTTGCAAAAAAAAGGCTACATCCGATGGTGCAATGTTCGCTTCCGGTGGCCATCACAAGCTTTCCGAGAGTGCGCGAGTGCGCTTCGCCTCTGCAATGATTGGCACCATGCAGCACTTGGGAATCTTGCAAGCCTTGGGACATCTGAGGGGGGCAACCTATTCCACCCATTGGTGCTATGGTTTGACATATGATGTAATGATATGTAATGTGCTGTCATGTGTAGTGTACACCGGTTGGCCCCATAGAACATAACACCAAAAACCGTGCCACAATGCTCCTTTGTGGTGTGGATGCAAAGGTCGGGTCAGGGACCACTCAAATTAATAAACTAATAACAAATCAAGACAAATTCAATTATATATTGAATAGTGACCAATTTAACGCAAATGAGAAGCTTGAATGAGCCAGGATTGAATGTGCTCGGACTTGAAGCAGTTCTCACTGCATATAAGGAGTGCAGTCTCAGTTCCCTTGGACACCTCAGCACTGAGAAGAAGTTCGTGCAACACCTACCTCTACGAGCTGCAAGCAGCAAGCTGTCTAGGTCAATATTCACGCATACAGTAGCTCCTAAATGCACCGTTAATGCCTGCTGGTTCCTTGAATCAACATTCTGCAAAGAAAATAGCAACCAAACTATGTTTCCATATGTTTCCGACAATGTGAGCAACTCTAATGAGTTGAGAGGGTGCTCATGCTTATTCAATCGGAAAATTTTAAAGGGTCTCGCGACTCAAGTATTCGTGGAGGAGAGCGCTGAAGCAAACCAAGGACAACAGCAACTGCACTTGTTGTGACAGCCAGGCCACATGGCTTCCTGGAGAAAGGATGTGAGGAGTCTGCACGTGAGTCCCCAACAAACGGGCTTTCAACATTGTAGACCTTGGTTTCAGCCATCGTCTGGCAGGATGCAGTGGCCGAGTTGACGGGGACTGTTCGGCGGGCTTTCCGGAGCATCCTGAACACTGAAAACACCCAAAACACCCGTCAAGTTGAACATGACATGGTGGTCTGCTTGGGGACCATGGGACATTCATCGCAGAGTCAAGCAACACCTGTATGGGCGGTATGGGGACTTTGAGCCTGGCAAGCTTTTGCCCAGTCAAGGGTATGGGTGAAAAAGGCCCAGGGTTCCACGGGATGTGCATGACAAAATGCAACTCTCAGGATTTCGGGGTGGCAACAAGTGTCCTTCAACTTCTTCGCATCTGTAAGAAGTCCCCAAAGCCATATGGTTTATACTATATACAGAGTTCTATCTGAGGCTTCATGTGAGCGAGCGCCAAAACCTATGGGCACAAAAGCGGAACTCCACATGTTGGTATCGCTTTTGGTTGTTCACTGTATTGCTTTGCAGTGTTTCGGATGCCTGTGTCATTTTGTTTGCAGACTGTCTTTTGAATCACAACAGGTGAGCTACACATGAGTATTGGTAGAGAGGGAGACCAGGAAAGAGAGAAAAAAGAAAAAAAGAGAGAGTATGTGTTCTATTGACGCAACAGTCTTTCCTTCTTCTTTTCTAAGCTCTACATCTCAGGCATCCTCCACAATTGCTTTGTATGAAGATAGGAGTTGATCATCCCTGGGTATCGCTTAGGTATCGCTCTGTCTAAAGCAACACACATGACAATAATAAGATTGAATCAAACGATCGAGGTGTACCTTGTGAGGGTATCGTTTTTGGTTGATTTACAGGCCGCCTCATGATTTCAGCACAATCTACCAAAATCTATGAAAAGTTCCTCTCACATAAAGCTTTGTGTACAGACCCTTTTGGATGTTGCTCATGTGGCTTCTAGCTCTTCATTTCCAAATCGCCAAGTCAGTCTTCCCATTAGACCTTCTGAAGCAGCTTCTTCGACAAGCTGTATCGAGCTGGCCGTGGGAGCTCCGGCATGGCAGCACAAAAAACTATGCATGTTATTTCGCAAAGCACCTACTCAAAGGATCTAAATAGTAAGGTTCGAGCAACACTACACGCGAAGAAAAAAGAACAGTGAGCAGCACAAACAAAACATAGCAAAAACATCTACTGTATAGTCTGGGATCCTATGACGAAGCCCGACCAAAAACAAGGGGCGCAATTCATGGACTACCATGGTTCAACATTCACTTCTGGACCGCTGTGGCACTGTACCTCTTTGTTAGGCCCAGTGGCAGCACCATAGCGCACGCCATTGCTTCGCTGTTCTCAGGGTCCACCAGGATGGGGCAGTCTGTCTCCACCGCGGCCTGGAAGCCCCGGGGGGCCCAAAGGGGGCCACCGGGCCAACACACCAGGCACACCGAGCGAATGAACGGGAACATGTTGGGTCTCTGTCAGTGGGATCGGATGTGATCTGGCATTCATGAATTTGTTCTACCAAGTATGTGAAGCAAGCTGCTTCCGGCACACTTGCACGATCAAACCCGAACTACAGTGGCCCTTTTTTTACAGGCCATACTGCCTGCTACTGGCCTGGGAGGTATAGGTCCAAACCGAGAGCTTCGCCAAGGAGGAAACCATCACGCTCACACTGTCGTAGGTGAGATGCTTTGGAAAAGCTGTGGTGTCCACTTTGTTCAGCCACCTGGCTCCGAACCAAGATGGAGACAGGCAGCCCCAGATTTTTCAGAGTACATATATACAAGCCGCAGAACCAAGAGTTATATATCAAAACTTAATGATGGTTCTATCATGGATCGGCATTGAAACACTGGCATGTATACTGAACATATTGCAACAAAAGAGTGGCCCGAGAGCCTGCGCTCATCCTCATCTCGACACGGAATTGTTTCTAAAGGTTTCCCCAGCCACATGCCCACCTATGTAAACACTATTGCCGAAAGAAACCTGAACACCCCCAAGGTCTATGGCAAAAAGGGACGTCTTGCGCAATACACCCAAATAGTGTAGGATATCTGCCTCAACCTGAACACGGCGGAAGAACGTTCTGAACGAGTTGCCACCTTCGAAGCTGTCCAGCTTTCCGTGGCTGTCTACGAGCTGGACAGTTTCAGTGGCATCGGTTGTATCATTTTACGTGGCCCCGAGGAATACGGAATACCTCTATATGCTTTCGCCATCGTTAGCCGTCTGTTGGATTTCCCGTGAATCTATATATAGTAAATTATAACAATACAATTCATACAGTATGCCATTATACGCATGTGTGCGCGCATGCGAACAAATTGCATATAAATATATAGATATACTACAGTGTATATATATTATACTATATTGTATTTTATTATTTTGTATATGTTCATATTTATATATATCTATATACACGTGTGTCTGTATGTGTTTTATTTTCTTTGGCTTCTTGATCTTTGCACAACATATGGCGACACCCTCTCCAACTCAACTGACTGACCTCTTATGTTCCAAAACGTTCAACATGAGCAGTCCCGAGTCGCAAGGGATGAACGTGGTCCAATACTTTGGCCCTATCATAGAAAGCCTTGGGGTCATCCAAGAATCTGGGCTGTCAGTACCTGGTGGCTGCCGACTCTGGAACCCCCACATCACTCCCATGAACGCTCTGCTTCCAGAAACGTGTGCAAGGCCAAAGCTCCTTTCCGTTCATGTCAAATGCCTTGGAATCCTGCGGCTCCCTGTCCATGTCTCAACTAGGTTTGGTCAGTGTCAGTTTCTTGCTGGAAGCCCGCAACCCCCCAAAAAGCAACGTTTCAGGGACCTTTGATTTACAAAGAAAAATTACAAAGATGGAATTCCGTGTCGCGTAACCACCACTATTTTTACTATGACTTAATCGTGGTGCACCCGGTAAATAAAAACCCACCATTCGTTTGCTGGATTATTTTGCTATATCTGCATTCTAATATTCTAATCATTTTCAATCATCACTCTGCACATTAATGGTGCCACTTTTTCTGCAATGGGTTTTGCATAATGTGTTCCAACCACCACCCACGCTGATGGACGGTTTGCACTGTGCACTCCCCTAAATCATCGCACCGATCGGCTGGATCCGCCTGAAGGTGTCCAACACATCCTTTAAACTGATGCCGAACTTGGTGAGCTCCTGAATGTCGGGCACCTGAGTGATGTTCCGCGGATGCTCAAAAAGGTATACCAACCTGCCACCGGCCACCTGACCTTCAACCGTCGATCACGAGCAGGTGGATAGTTTTAGCTTTTCCTGCGCGACACGACCACGAACATGAGGATTCCTCCACCACGAATACGGCCCCCCAAATCGATCCGACGAAAACCCGGTTCGTCTGACGAAAAGGTTGCCCGTCATGGTGCGTCTGATTCCATGGAGCGCGTGGGTTCAAATGCCAGTGAGCCGAAACGGCGAAAACTATAAGGAAATGCACTTGTCGCGCCAATCGCGGTCACATGCGATTGTCGTTGAATTTGTTGCCCCATGTTGCTCTAACTTACGTTTCAAGAAACTGTTGCCGGTGGGCAAGTTTCCCGGGACATGTGCCTATTGTGCTACACGGAATCATGCAAAACAACCACCCAACTCACCAAACAGCAGTGTTGCAGCAGTTCCCCCTGCAAACAAATACATACAATTAAACGAAAAATAAAGAAAAGAAAGAACCAACCTCCGGTCGTGACACAACGTTGGCATACTTCTCGATGTACTCGTCGTTAGGCTTCACAAAGTCCGGCCACGCCAAGATGAGTGTGTTCACGTTGTGCCGCCAGGCCGTGACCATCTCACCAACACACCACTTCCTGAACGAGCCCGGGTGTGGGAATTGGTGTATATAGACACCTCCGTGTTTTGGACGCCTCCAAACATCTCCTAAGGCCACAAGGAAGTCTGCAAATGTCTCCGAGCACTGATGGAGGCCACAAGAAGTTTTGAGTGAAACTTACCCCAGCAAAGCAACATTTTAGTTTTGCCGGTCACTTTTTTGTCTTCATTTCAGCATGCGCACCATTAGGGGGAACATGTGTTTTCTTGTTTCCTTGTTCTTGTTCAACTGCCTCCCCAACTGATCACTTAACACCAGTCAACTGACATGCACTCAGGTTTCGCATTTTGTGGCCAAGAAGTGCCGCCGCTAAGCCGCTGCGCCCATCAAGGCGGCGTGTAAAGAGATGTGGGAGAAGATTAGGCATGAGAACGTACGGTTTTCACCTGGATCAAGAAAATCCATTAGTATCCATTTGTGATTGCTGCGCGACGGCGACAGAATTCAGGCTAAGCACACAGATCAAATCAAACATCAATGCAACAACGGCACGTTCTCTTTTGCAGGAGTGGGGGGAACTTCAATCTATGTTAATGGGGCATGGGAGTTCATGGCACTGCGGTGTGTGGGCATGGGGCATGAGAGCTCACTTGCACCACGCACCTGCCTAATTGAGACAGGACTCCGAGTCAAAACTGCTGGAGTGGCCATGATGAGGAACGTCTCTGTGTCCTCTGAGTCTTGCCAAAACGGCATGAATGAACAGCGTCTCATGAACTGGTCAGCAACTGAAAGCCCACCGGCCCACTTCTGGAAAAGTGAATCGTAACAAACTTACCCATGGGACCTACCATGGTTCCTGCTAAAGAATAATCAGCAAATGAGTGGCCCGGAGACTGTGATGTCAAATTCGGGTGTGTTTCTTCGCGGTGCGATTGCACTACTGCGAAAAGGGCTGCAATCAAAGAAACCCAAGGCTTTGCATGATGCTTCTGAAATGTTTTCACAAATATACTCATATTTTCGCTCACAAAAGCAGTAAAAATATATACACATATGAACCATTCTAATTGTATATAGATGTATATTGTAAATTTGACAATGGCAAATGTCTCGCCTTGATGCCAGGCCAGCGACTCCTGCTGCACCTTTCGGGCCAAACCGCCCACGCTTTACCATTCAGAGGGGTGGGATCCCTGTCAGCACCTCAGCCACGCCTGCGATTGCGTGATGGGAGGCGTGCCGGCTTGTTCGGCCGGCGCGTTGCGTCTCGGCCGCCGCTTTGCGCGGGTGGTCAAGGTTGGTTGGGGTGCTATGTTGGCTGCTGCGTCGGCCTCGGGTTGGTGGCGGGGCCCCGCGGCTCCGAGGCTCGCTGCTGGTTTGGATCGGGGTTAACGAGCGCTGTGTGGCGGGTTCATCAGCGGCGCAAGGCCACGGGGCGCAGCCAGAAGAAGAGCTACAGAGAAAGCCACAAGAAGGTATCCTCGACCTTCTCACCACGGTGATTGAAGCAATTGGGCCGCACGTTTAAGTGCAATTGTCGGGTCAGACAGCCTCGCTCCTTGAGAAGTTCTCCTACAGCGTGAGCAGGAGGAGCGACCAGATATTGATGTCCGGTCCTACTGACGTGCGGGGCACCGTGAAGCTCTCCGTGAGACACTGCGTGGCTCCTGTTGAGGAAGGGCAGATTGACTCAAGAACAGAAGTCCCAGTGCGGGCGAGGAAGCCCTCTACTACTTGTTTGGTCAAACTACCGTGGAAGAGTGGGCCTGCAACTTCGATACCACAACCATGCCAACAACAATGGCTAAGTTTCCAGATGCTTCCAGCAAGTGGAGGAATAGGAAGTCAGCTCAGGCGTTAAAGACAACTTAGACTTCTCTGAGGAGAGACTATGAGCCTGCGGACTATGAGGGTGAGGGCACCTAGGAGAGTGAAGGGGATGAGGCAATCTGTGGTCCGGAGTAGATGTGGGCAGAATGCTATGCCACTACTTGGATGCATGAAGACGGTCAACCGTGGCTTCTACCTGTCTGATAGCTCCGGACACGGTTGGCAAAAATGCTCTCCCAAAAGCACTGTAGCCCAGAAACATTGGAGACCTCAGCATAGTCTACAATTTGAGAGATTGCTCAAGAATTCAAAAGCATCCTCCATTTGATTGACAAGGTCCGGGATTTCAGCTTGCTGCAAGATCTTGTGCTCTTGCCCCACAACCGTTCAGGATCAAAAGATTGGCTCCCACTCAGCATGCCCGGAGGATGCACCGGATGTTTTAGCTTGAAACCATACTGAGGGATCCTGCGCAATCCAGTGACTGCATGGAATGAAGCCCAGCTGTCCTACTAGCCCGGCTAGCTGCTGAGGCCCAAGATGCCATGACAGGCTGATTGGTGGTCACTTCCCATCTCGCTGGTAGCACTCCTCTCTACAAGCTGCTCCTCCAAGGGTGATGCCCGGGCGTGATCATGGGGGCTTGACGCTCCTTCTCCAAGGCAGTGGCCAAAGCCTCTCTCGGCTGCTTCGAATCCAATGGCATCAATGCCAAAGAAATATCGAAAGTTGGGTTCAGGTCAGGAAACGTCAGGAAACGGCAACTCAAAGTGCTGCTCTCCAAAAGTATACGGCTATGCAACAATGCACCACTCCCAGCTCAAAGATCATCCAAACCGTTCGATGCCCCAGTGGTCACTTGCACAGAAAACGTTGTCAAAGCAACGCTCTTCCAAGCAACACTCATCCCCACGCGAAGCTTATACCCAATTCCAAACACCGACGCGCTCCCAAGTTTTCGGAAACTTCCTGGAAAACCCAACCTTTGCAACAGTGCCAGGCTCAAATCCACTCCGAGCTGGACTCTGCTTGTAGCCCCAACTGCTTGCAGGCGTTTTGCCCTCTTACCCCTGCTTCGGGGTGTCACCAGAATCTTGCGCCTCTTTGGCATAAAGATTCAGCCAAATGGCGCTCCAACTCTGACATGTCAGTGTCCAGGACAAGTCCGGCAGCGTTGCAGGGTCAATCTCCTCTGCCTTCAAGAGCTTGGCGTGTTCAGCCGGTTGATCAGGGGCCTTAAGTTGAGCTTTCAAGATCTCCTCCAGAGGTTGTAGCTCAGGCTGCGGCGTGATGCCGGCCCCCACTCCTCTCAAAGTATCTTGCACTTCCTTGGACATGCTAGCCCATCCTTTCCAGGGCTGCTTCAACGGTACTACTAAGTGGCACTGCTTCCCAGAATGGCCGGTGCCCCTTCTTTGTCTAGGTCCTAGGTCTCCTGCTCCCGGGCGATGGGGAATGTCTATACGTCTGTACCATGAGCCCGTACACACAAAGTACCGCCTTCCATTTGTGACCTTGTCAAGGCTGCCCCTTCCTGGATTCATGCCCAAGGATGTAGCCGTCCGAGTGGGGATCACCTTGTCTGTCGCCTCGTCAAAGCTCTGGCAAAGAACCAGTGCCGTCGAGGCCCTCAGTGCCACAGCCCATTGGGCGTGGCCTTGACAAGAATGACCAAGCACGGGTCTTGAGCCGAGATCTTGAGCCAAAATGGCTTAAACTAGTTCGTTTTCCTCTCTCTCTCTCTCTCTGCGACAACATATGCCATATGCATGGTCTTTGATCCCGCTGGCTGCTTCAAGCTCGGGCCTCCGCGCAAGGTGTGTTTTACAAAGAAACCAAACACAAACCCATGTTGTTCACCTGCTCTCTGGCTCCACGAGTCCCCCACCAGTCCTGACCCACATAGCTAAAGAGCCGGGTCAAATCGTTGAGGTCCTCAACCGATGAAGGAAACGCGTCCAGGGGGGGACGTCAGAAAAACACATGCATGGTCAAACTCAGGGGTCGATCCATTTTGCAGGGTCCGAGGTCAACTGAGGTCGGACAAGAAAGGTTAAGTGAACAGGCGGAGGTCAAATCGAAACGGAGGTTCCCTGGGCATGACCTTTTCGTAAATTTGTACAAGTAGTGTGTTTGTCCGACATGGCTGTTGGCCAGCCGGCTGGATTACAATCTTGACATTCTACATCTCTCATGACACGCAACAACGCATTCTTCACGTTGGCATCCGAAGGGCCCGCATGAACCCACTCACAACCAGGAATACATTGCATTGACAACTCAAGATTCAAAATTGCATGCCCTCTTTGCTTCGGCCTTGTCTGAGCATCTTCAATAGTGAACTACACAATGAGTGGTTATCATCATCATGTGTATAGTTGAAAGTTGAAAACACCACTCTGGAGCAGTCTGGATAAGATTTGCCATAACAATCTAATTCTGCAGCCTCCAATTTGCCAAGGTTCATCGCAATCAATGAAGGTCTTGGTTCCTGGCAAAGACTGTTCCAGCTTCATCTTGAGCAAGCGGGCCATGGAGCCGGCCGCATTCTTCTGGTGACACAGGAAGAAACGGAAGTGCTTGTGGTGCAACTGCCGCACAAATCGGTACAGGCCGCTCAGCAAGGTGAACAGGACGGCCGCCAGCATGAGGAGCACGAAGAACATCACGACCACCACAGTGGTTTGCGGGTCCTCTTCACTGATCGCCGTTGCACCCATGTCCAGGATGACCAGCATCGCCACCATGAGAATCCTGTCTCAAAATGATGAAAATGATACACATGCCAATCTTTTGGCAGAAGTTGGGGTGAGAGCGGCGACAAAGGCCCTCAAACTATGTGAACTATGTAACGGGTCGTGTTCACACACGATGCATGAGTCTCTGGAGGAGAAACTGGAACTCCACATTCATCCACGAGACATATCCAGAACGTTGTTGATCATGAAGCGCCATGGTTTGTAGAAGGCCACCATAGCAATGCTGGCCTTGGGCAATGCCCACATACATCAATCTCACCGAGACTGGATCCACCCAGAAGGTGGGTTAGACTGGACTCTATGCGCAATAAATTGGACTTGAACAAGTGGGTGTGTGAAGGTGCGTCTGTGCACGACCATGAGTGCATTCGGTCACCAAAGTTTTGCACGTCCATGAGTCGTGCACAGCGGTTCGTCGTAGGCCAAGTGGCATAGAGGATGATGCTCATCGAAACCAGGCGGCCGGACTTGGTGGTGATCAGTGGACACATGGTCAGCAGGGAATTCCTTAAAAGGAAGACAACTGAGAAAACTTCGGCGCCAGGAGCGAAGCGCTTGAACAGGAAGGAACAAGAGTTCAGGAACGCCGCATCTGACCTGACCACAAGCGCTTTTCCATTTTCGCAAGATTTCGCAACAATATACCCATGTATCCTGGATGATGTTGAAGTGCAATGTATCACTCCAAAACCGACAAAACCCACAGATTGCTGGATTGGTCGTTCGTGGTCAGCTCATAGGCTTGCAGCGGCAACCCTGGGTCTCCCTCCGACACCGTTCACATCGGCCTGGCCAGACGCCGAGGGAGTTCCACAAGCACCAGCCAAAGGCCTCAGTAGCAAAGCACTGAGGGCATTTGTACCTGGAGAAATTGTACCGGAGAAGGTCGCCTGCCAGTGGTTTGGAGTCACTCTTAACATCCACCTTATATTTTGATATATTTTGCACATATTCTGTATGTTCCATCTGATCACCCATCCTCACATATTTTAGTTTGCACCGTCACCTTCTCATAATTTTCCATCATCTTCCCATCCTCAATCATAGGGTAGGGAACTTGTCGGTTACAGCCGGCCTTGAGTATACCCTTAAGGACTGTGATACGCGAAAGCCAATATTGAACATCGGCAATACCTCTCAGGATCTCTTTAACCATATTTCAGCCATGCGTGGTGACACAGGATTAGTCATGTTATTGTCGTAAAACAAAATACTATTATGAACAGCCAGGTTCAATGATTTGGTGTCTTCAGCACCTACACTGTTGTCACCCTAGCTCACTTGCGTCAGCTGGGTATCTAACTACGATCCTTTCATTTTTTGTTTATGAGAAAACACCTCTTCTCGCACATTAATCACTTGGTCTTCTGACATTCATATGCTGACATAGGATCTTATCTCATCCTTGTCCCATCTGTCTGGGACATCGGCATCGTTTTCCCACAACAATCCGCACGTGGCACGTGGCCACACACCACTCAGCAAGTATCATCATGGCCGTCAAGACTGAGGAGAAGCAGGAGTCGAGAGGCGGCAGGCAGTGAGGAAGCCACTGACACAAAATCTACCATAACTCACTTGACAGGTGGGGAAAAATCTGCAAAGCAGGATCCAGCACTCTAGCGCTTGCTGAGGCGCAGATCGAGATGAAGGCCAGCGGCATGAGACACGCCAAGATTCCTCAGTGATATCCCTCGTTTCGCCAACTGCGGGGAAGTCCTTTTCATCCTTCCTTTACAATGGTATTGACGTTCCTTGTGATTACTATTTGATAATTTGATACTACTTGTATGACGATGATTCCCTCTGTGAATGAACATCCGATTCGGTATGTTGGGGTTAGGGTGGGGGGTGGTTATGGGGTTGGAGTCTTGAGGGTAGTGGCGACTAACATAGGCACAAGGTGCTGCATTGATTGTCAAGAATTTGCATCGGCTATATAGACCTGCTTGAACTTTGTGTGGAACTTTGCCTTTTCGAACCAGCTTGGATTTGAGCCGTTTTAGCTTGTCTTGTCTCTTCCAAGTTCAAGGTTTGGGCGACATGCTATGCGGGTTCGTGTGAAACCATGCGGAATGCGGTTCCCACGGCCTGCTTGCTGGGTAGAATATGGTAGAATAACGCTTCACAACTCATGCATTGAAAGGCATTGAAAGGCCACTTTCACACAGGTCAACCCAGGGTAGAAACAGGGGGTTGTGCCAAATCATGCCAAATCCAATGGTGCACCGAAAAAACGCCGCCGTGATGCATCCACCCTTTCCGTGATGCATCCACCGGACCCGGGAAGAAAACTCGACACCCCGGTTCTTATGGCAAACTCCATACGGACCACCACCGGTGTGTGTCACCACGGCCACCTCGTAATGTCCAAACCTGTCCAAAAAACGTTCCACGATGCGAAAAACGAGTCGCACGTCAAAACGGCTACACCTTTCGCCTTCCAAGCTTGTTATAAAGCCTGTCCAATGTCCAAGCAAGCTTCCAATCAAAGACATCTGCAGTTGTTCCCCTTGGCCACCACAAAAAACATTGCCGTATCGACCTCAGTAGGTGCCACGGGCTTGCCTTGAAATTATGGACAAACCATGCACTGCACAGGATAAAGAAAACGCCCCCCCAAAAACAAACAAACAAACAGGAACATGACGCAAAACGACGAGGAACTAGAAGACTGACCGAATGGTTGAGTGTCTCCCTACCTGAATCTGCAGCCACATGCACAACGTTTCAACAATGATTTGTGATGTGTGTCTCTTTCAGGCCCGGTCAATCACCAGCGGCCCAAGCGACGGACAGTCCATAAGCCATTAGGATGCTCTTCACACTGGAAAGGAGACAAGAGCATGGAGAATAGGATAATGAAGAAGACAATCATAATGCCTCAGTTGCCAACTGTCAGGGCGTTCAACTCGACTGGAATGGAGGTCTTGAGAGTTGTTCTTCTGGTGCCAGGCTGCTCCCCATCGTTCTCGTCAAATAGGCCAGCTTGAAGGTCTTGGACCGCGAGATGATCAAATAGCCTCATGGTCGCGCCCAGGGCGTACACAAAGGGTACACCAAACATGCTACGCCTGGCCTCAGTAAATATTTCACTGGGCAAACCGGAAAAACATGTCCTTTAAAGCCGTCAAACTAGCCATCAAAGATTCATTGTTTTTCATTATGGTAATTTGGATTAATTTGGTAGGTAGGTTGATCTTGGCACCCTTCGAAGCTTCATGCACTTTTGCCCAGAATTCTTTCCTTGTGCATTGCTGCTTGTCGAGTCGTACTTGAGACTAGGTTGAGACGATTGTACTCTGGTACAGTGGGATTTTCGCATGGCAGCGGAGCCCTCGATCCTGGGAGCATATGCACTTTGAGCCCAAGAACTTCAAGACACTGCCGACTTTGCTGGAACATTCAATTCCACTTTCCACTGAAAAGTAAGGTTTGACACTGGATGTCTTGATGTAACTGCCACGACTGAGGCTGTGAACTTTTCTTCAAGAAAGTTGCACTACTTGTTGGCGAACTTGACCACTGGATCCGCTAGGTTGATCGTAGGGAAAAGTAACATGTCCAATGGGTTTGAGACTTGGTGTAGGATGGGGCACGACATGCGTCACTTCCTGATGCGACACGACATGCGTCACTTCTCACCCAGCTGCTAGACTTGTTCAATCCAGCAACCTTTGAGCAAGAATTTAAAACCTCGGAGAATGAAACCCGACGTTGAACGCCTGGAACGACCCTTCCTGACAGCGTGCCTGTTGCTAGCTGAACAAGGGAGCACGAGCTTTGCAACAGCACGTGCGCTCGAATGCACGCACATTGACTACATACATACACAAAAATGCGCGCTGTGATCAGATCGTACCAGCACAAATGGACAAAGTTTACTTGGGTTAAAAAGTCGAAAAGGCAAACTGTCACCAACAAACTTGCCATGTTGAAGGGCTTTAGGAAAGGCAAAGGTAAGAATCCAGACCGGCAAAAGCAAAAGGTAAAGGTTGTGGAGACAACTTTGGACATGGAAAAATTGGAGCATTTGTTCAAGGAAAAGAGAACTTCCTCACCCAAGCTAGTTCGAGTACGTCGGTGCCGAACCAAGGTGCAAAAGGAAACCAACTTCGGTGTGCTACACATGCGGAAAACCGGGACACATTCCTGACAAATGTCCACGGAGACCTGTGAATGCACTTGCTGAAGAGCTCTGGAACTTAGACTTAGGTCTTGGTAATGAAGCTTGGAGTGATGAAGCTTGGAATGAGAGTGAGTGAAACTCTGACTTTGATCTCACCTGGGACCTGGGAGCCAAACCAGACCTGGCTCCTCAGATTGAAACCACTGAACTTCCTGAAAAACAATGCCAACTTGACACAGCCAGGCACTTCAAATGCCCAGGTTGGAGCAGTCATTGCTTCTCAACCACTTGGACTTGCGCTTCCTACGGTTTCCTAAGCCAAAGGCCAAGGCTACTTTGATTTCAGCAACCCTGTAGTGTTTAGCCACTTTGGTTTGGGAACTTCCATGCAAACGCATGGACAACACTACCCCATCTGGACTTTGCCTACTTCGGACTTTGTGTCTATATAGGTTCTAGGTTTTGTCATGATGCTATGACTATGAGTGACTACGAGTGACTAGGGCCAACAGGACCTACCATGATCCGTACATGACTTAGACCACTGGATACCACTGAGGAAGACTTGCCGCTTCCACTTCGACAACGTGTAAAACGAAGAAGTTGGGACTGCAGTCGAAACACACTTTGGAACCAGAAGAAGTGAACTCGTCGAAATTTCAAAGAATCTCAGCAATTATAACTCCTGAATTTGCTGATGTACATGTACTACTTTTCGACGTGAGGTTTCCAGCTGTCACAACACCGAAGACTCAACTTGAGGTTCCTGCTTCCGTTAACGAGGATGAGCATGAGCTTCTTTTGATAAAGACTTGAGAACCCTGTCTTTGATCGTCACTGACCGACGCTCAACTTGATACTGCAACCGTTGCACAACATGGGTTTTATGGTAAGGAAGCATGATGGCGCTGTGAGGTGTCGACTTGTGGTCGGGGGCTATGACCAGGTCATCGAGGACACTGATGATACGGACTTGCTAGCACTCCTTCACGGGCGACGTTGACACTTTTGTTAACCCTGGTCATTTCATCTGTTTGGATGTATCCACTGCAGCTTTACGGGCACTCATCACTGGTGATGACATTTTTGTCGTCCCTGCACTTGGGTTTTGCCCAAATGGTGGAGTATTGAGGAAACTTCGTCGCGCGCGTTTTGGATTACCAAACGCACCAAGACTTTTGGTTTTGCACCAGTAATTACTGACAGCGAACAACTTCAAACGACTGAAGAGTGATCCCAACTTGCACACGTTCTGTTCTTTGCTATGTTGATGACTTGATGGTCTTTGGAAGGTTTTCTGACGTCTCACAACTCATCCAAGACTTGGGAAACGTGTTGTTGAAGACTACTGGTGAACTTGCAGGAGGTGTGAGACAGTCACTTTTCTTGGTAGACAATCGCACGAAACATTGACTGCATTGAACTTTTCATGGACACTTCATATGTGGACTCAATGTTGGATGAACTTGAAACACGCAGTTGTAAGCCTACTTTGACTCCTGGATGCGCTGCAAAACCAAGAGCTAAGAGGAACTTTGAACTCATTTGACAGTGAACAGTACAAGCTCTACAGGAGAATTGGTGTGGATAGAAACGATATCATGCTTTCGTTCAAGGATCTGCCACAGGACTTTCAGCGCCAAGGAAAAATCACTCGTTGAGACTGAAGCATTTGCTTATAGATACTTGCCAGGAACAAAACCGTGGCTCGATGCGCTCCTGGAATTTTGAACTTTCCATGGGACAAACATGCATTGGCGTCAATTGCTTTCTTTCAAGGCAAACCAGTTGAATCCCCAACCTGGCGCCATTTGCATCACTGTTGCAATTGTCCAAGGGCCCGTGCAAAACTTCATGCACTGCACTTTTGCCCAGACTTCTGTACTGTTGCCCGTGTTTTACTTGGCTCAAGTGTCAGAAAAAGGAACTTGAGTCCGAGTTGTACTGAGCTGGACTTGAGACTAGGGTGAGTGCTGAAACCCTTGGGTTTTTTTCGCACATCCACGAAAAGGATTCGACATGCCAACCCCCCGGCCGTGTGAGGTGAGAAACGTCTGAGTCTTAACGTCACACATCGCAGTCACACTGTCACACTGTCGCAGTCTGAGATCTTCAAGTGTGAGATCTTGAATTGTCTCATCTGTTAGAACTAATGGCAAGTGGCTCATAGAATGGTGCAATCAAACATAACAACGCACTGGCTCAATCTTTCATAACCCTGGGTTGATCAGCAACTTCACAGCAAGTCGCAAAGGTGCACCAGCAGCGCCACCAGCATCAACCTTGGCTCATGGATAATCATGGGATATTGAGGCGCTTTAGTGCCGGAAAGCTACAAAAGCTTGAGAAAACATGCAACTGTGGGGGCAAAAGGGAAGGGAACAAACATGTCAAGTTGTGTGCCCAAAGTTGGACAGAAATCTGGTGGGACACTTCCTACAGTTTGTGCATTTCGGTTTCAGCAACAACGTGGACGAAGGTGTACTGGAAGGATGTGAGCAAATATGATCAGATATGTGCATTCCAATGGCCGGTGCTCCAAAACATTTCGACAATAGGTCCCAACCAAGCCCCGTTGGTTCCGGTGGAGCTCTTTGGACAAAGTTGCAGTGCTTGAGAACTGTGGCACATGAGTCGCGTGTGGCTTGAACTGAAAAAGGATCTGCATAGCACATGGCTGTTACGGTAGTAGCCCCACGGTCGCTCCAACCACTCTGTGGAAGGTCTTTTGCGTGGATAAGATAAGTACAGAGTATACAAATTCTGTCACCATGATCCTTGGGAGCGGGAAAAAACATAGGGCTCAATTCTTCAGCCCCTCTCGTTGCACTCCCAGCGGCATAGGGATAAATAAGCATCCTGGTGAGGCTCGAAGGGCATATTTGAAGCAGCGGAAGGTTGTTGTTACGGTGTTGTTCTTGTCCAGTTTTTCTGTGGGTGAAGCCGAGTTTTTGTTCCCCTGTGACTGCTTCTGGTATGGGGAAGGCACGAAAGAGCTACAGTGCGCAGCAGGCGCACAAGTCTTTGTGCAAGAGATTGCAAGAGTTTCGCGTTTGGCTCCCTTAATTTAATTGCCACAAATCTGCAGCATCCACACAAACAAATCTCCTATCGACCAAGTACATGGGGATATTGCAGTAATATAATAATGTTCTGTGGAAGTATTCAGCATTCCTGACGGGAGCCTCCTCACCCTCACACTTCACTCCGTACTTCTTTGACAAACAATTCATCCGTCATCCTCCGTCGCAAGGTAAGTTTCAAAACAATTGCCTTAGCCTTGGTCAAAAATCGCACATTCGGCAAACATTTGCAGGATGATGCGGCATCTGCAACTTCATGGGTTTCTCTGCAAAATACCGTTGTTTGTCTATTTCAATCAAGCTCATGCTGGGTTTTGACATTGCTAAATCAGCTGGCACAGCTTCCAAGACAAAGGGCCCGCACACCTGCCATAAAATATGCACTAAATGCACATTATGTTCCACCTGCAATGTCATGATTGTTTTGATTGAATTCCGCGACTGCCAGCTTACTGGCGCTAGCTTTGCCTACTTTGTGACTTTGCACCTGAACCCCTACGGGAGCAGGTTGGTGCAGCTACATCTCTCTATATATATATATATGCACTAGATGCAGATTGCCACAGACCAGCTTCCGAAACACATGATGACTTGTTCTGGCGAGATTTGTGTGGAGACTGAATCAGACTGTAAAATGTACGTGCCTAAACTCCGAGAGCAGTCAAAAATACATGTCAGGCATGAAGCACCCAACCCATTACTCTCCAAGTCTCGGATGAGGAAGCTGACGACGGGACTTGGCTGGCCCAAGCAGTCTGTGTTGATCATATCCTGGGTCAAAGCGAATGAGTTGGAATACAGACATGCACGGACTCGAACAAGACCCAAGACCCGCAGGCATGCCAAAAGTGAGTGAGCCACTGAAACATCTGAAACCTACCCACGACAGTATGAATCCATTTTCTATTGCCGCCCTTCCATTTCAGTGGGCTGGCCTGGTTCTTTGGGTCACCACCCACACCAAGGCTCTATATCAATGCTCAGCACCTCGATCAAGCGGAGCACGCTGGCAAAGGGCTCGCGCCAGCTGATCTCGAAGCGCCGCAAGACCGCCATCATTTGGACCATCGTCACAAACTGAATAAAGCCCAACAGCACCACCATGAGCGACCTGGGTTGTTTCCGGTCGTCCTGCATGAGAGCGAAGTGCAGTATAGTGACCCCCATGACCACTCCCAAGAAGATGATGGACAGGACAGAATAGTCCATTCCATCACAAAGTCTGCAAGCTCCAGTCTCTGTGTCGGCAAATCCCTCCTGAGTCTGAGGCGAACGAAAGTTCAGTGCAACCATGTTGCAACCCGAAGTGATACTGCGTGCAAGCAGTCCAGTGATGACTAGATATAGATTGACGACTAGATTGGCGATATCAAAATTTCCTGGAATTGTCATGACGTTTCTAGTACAGTAACTACTTGGGTCAATCCCTATGACAATTATATTACATAACAAATGACAAATGTCACCTCCAAAAATGACACGACAACGGCGGACCCGCCCCGATTCTCCTGACACTTGACACAGGCGCTCGATACATCGCGGCCGTCTGCGCATGTGCCAGGCATACCACCCGGGCACACTTGCCGGTCACGACACTTGAAGACTTCGCCTGGTGCGGCGAAGATTGTTTTGAATGAGCGAAGTATACTAGCAGTTGAGTCAGCGGGGAAGATTGTTCTGAAGAACTAACTCCATTCCAAGTCGATTGAGGGCCGCCACACGTTGCATTGCATAACAAAGAAAAGCATACACTCACACATATATAATATATACACATAATACTTACGGTTTATTAAACCGCCACATGAACACATATAACAAAAATACATGTATTTCTATTTGCATATGAACCATTTGCCCGCAAAGAGCTCCCGAACCTGGAAGCAAGACATTGGCTAGAGTCTAGGCTGAGAGGTTGACTCTTGGGTGAATGATGCACCGAGACCATGGGGGAGAGGAAGAAGGCCGTGCCAGAAAATTGAAGCAACTCTGTGCCGGTTAGATCATAATAGATCTATATATTTCTTTTGATGGCCAACAACTGAAGAATCTGTCTCAGAAAGCAGCCAAAAAACAGTTACCAAACCAGAGCAGAGTTGACCCACGGAGAAGTCGGGGGGACCCGCATCGATTACCATACACACCCAGGCCCAAAATGGCCCAAACCCTTCTCTTTCCCCAGCTTCGCGTATCAGCGCCCCATATCCCTGCTCCATGCCTGGTGCGGCAGAGGCCGAGAAGTAGCCAGGCAAAATAGCAAAGCGATTTGAGCCCGGGCATGTGAGTCCTGCAAACAACGCTTTAAAATGACTAAAGGTGAAGCTCAGCTTCACGAGATCGACTGTTCCAGTCGTTCGTCCAAGAAACGAAGCAAACAACATCCCATGCATTTGAAGTTCCATTTTGGACATCATGTGGGGCTTCCTGTCTGAGTAGAGCGGCATGGCATGGCTACAGGCTAGAGCAAATATCGGAATACAGGTATATCGGTGTATCATATCAGGGGATGTTCACTTGCCATGGTTGTCAAATGAAGATTCAGCTTCGCCCCTTAATGACCCAGCTATGACAGCTATGAATTACAGTAAGCATGAGGTTTGACAGGGGTCCATCGAATCTGTCTATCGCGTCTTGCTGTGATGATCCCCACAACCAGCAGCGCCGATCGCTGCCTTCCATGCAGAGCTTACATCGGCCATTCCACAACAAACTGCCCGTTTGACACGCGCAAAAGGATTCGGAGTCTGCTCCCAGCACCTGGATCACCTGGACGACGAGTCAATTCAAGGCAGTTTCAAGGAGTGTTTTCGGAATTGTTCGAAGTGGACACATAAATTCAGTGAATGTCACGGAGCTCTGGTCACCCTTGACCTGAAGAATGTGACATGACTTGAACCTTCAGATTCACCAACACTCTGATGACATGGGCACCCGGCTGTGCTTGGCCTCCTTCGCGGGGAATCGATGACCCCGACACATGGGGCCGGGCTTCTTCGCATCTACGGCGACGTCTCGGGTCCGAGTAGCGTCCGATCGCTCCTAGTAGCGATGCCCTTTGCTCCGTTGGGAGCGTCCGATCGCTCCTGGTGTTGTTTTCCGAATCTTCATCCTGCCTGCGTCTCATTGTTCAAGATCACATCACGACTTGTGGTCCACATCTCTTCTTGGCCTGTCCCAGAACCGCATCCTGGGCGCGTGCCCATCTGGGCAAGGAGACGGGCCGGGCATCAGTGGCACTGATACAAAACTGGGCACATGATGCAGGATTACAAGGGGAAAGACTTGTAGCAAACGTGCAGTGCCAGCCGACAAAAGCAACAAAAAGAACCACAAAACAATACCGACAATACTCAACATTACTTAATCTATAAGAAACGGATACAGCGGCAAGAAAGGTAAAACCACACTCAAGCCCCACTGGAGAAAACACAAATAGCCAAATAGCATAAAACCTATCAACTACTAAAGCTCAATTGGCACGGTCCGTGCTTCCAAGATACACATGAGATGAGTCTAGAACGCGTCACAAAACAAGCACGTTATTCATACGAATGATACAAATGGAGGCAGCTTCATTAAACAGTAGTCTGAAGCTGTATCCTCATCATCTCTCCCCAATGATCCAGTAACTGCGAGCAACCTCCCTATCATGTGAATATCATATTTCATTGAGAACCAGCAAAATTCATGCTCACTTCCATGTGCGTCCATCATTTCCAATCCAAAGTTCGGGTGCAAGCAGTTTTGCCAGAGGAGTTGACATATTCCCCAAGGCTACACAACTCGCACCCATGAGCACCAAAGATTGAGGAGATGCTGCCAGGCTCGCATACGCTGCATTCTGGAGAGCCCAAAATGTTCTGGAAGAATCCAGGTTCACCTGCAAACTGCACGTCCAAATGCCCAAACTGATATGGAATAGCCATGAGCAACCCAAAGGAAACATACCAATTCCAAGGTGATTTTGCTTGTTGACTGATTGGCGGCAATAAACGCATCCTTGTATAAGTGGTTGCTGACCCCTGCTCAAGTTGAAAAGGACGTGGACAAAGGGAGCACTGGAACGTTACTATTACAGTAAACAAACGGACATGTGTTCAACATGTGTTGTTGCTAGTCTGGAAGTAGCACTGGCAGCATCGTCTAAAACAATAATAAGCAATATTGAAAACAAACACGATAACGGCAAAAGGATCACATTGTTGAGCACACCAGTGTATTGGGCCTTCTGCAAGAGACCAAATCTGACGTCAGCGAAAACAAGGGGACATAGCAAAAGAAAATCAATTGAACAACATGAGCAAACCCGACCTGACGCAAAACATCTACGGGAAAATCCTGAGAAACACCTGAACGTTGCGACGTGTCTTGGTAAGGCCGTTTGTCATTTCCTGGCTGTCGGGATTTCCGACTTGACATTGCCTATTGGTGCGTCAACGCGTTTGCCTGGCCCCGGTTCGGAGAGCATTTACAACTTTAATATACCACATCATGCTACATCTTACATCATCTTATATTTAAGAAAAAATGGATACACATGGTATTGATTGAAGTTCATTTGTGGACCTCTCTGAGCGAGTCTGAAACTTGGAGAGACTTGGATGAGTTTATCAGTCTCTCTGTGACTGTCTCTCCCTCTGCCTCTCTCTTTCTCTCAGCTTAACTTCGCTTTCAGAAGCTGGCGTCGTCTCTAGTCCAACTGAAGCACAAACACAATATCTACCGGGAAATCGGCCAAACACCTCCCAGCTGCTGAAAAATCCCCGATCGGCTCTTGTTCTCAACCAGGCCACATAAAGCGCACACACGTGTTGCTCCGGCCTTCACCTGGGCTGGGGCGGGAACCGGACCTGTACCCATTTGTTATGGGAATAGGAAGCAGTGGAAAGGATATGGAGGGTCGGGATTTTCTCTGCCAAAATCTGTCTGTTGTTGTTGCCAGTGTGCTCATGTGCTGCAGTGCCTGCAGTCGGGAACTTGTTCCAAAGTTTCTTCAAATGCAATCAAATGCACAAGTTCATCCTAATGTACCCCAATAATTCCCAGTGGCTGACGCACGTCCTGCAGAGCAGGTCGTGCAATCTACGGCTGTCGACCTATCCTTGGCGCGAGCACCGAGCTCAAGACAGGCTAATCTTGATTGACCGGTTCCAGGTACAGTCTACAGGTGATAAATATCTAAGACGAGTATGGAAAATACATGAACATAATAAACATGCAATTAGATTATACGACTGGAAAATACAATTGTTCACATTACACATGTCAAACACATTTTTCAAATACACATACCAAGAACAGCACATATGACCGACAAAAAATGCCAAAACGCATTGCGAACAGAATTGTATATATATATATATGTATATACATTTACGTCTGACATGTCTACGGGGGTACTTGCCGCTTTTGCGGCCAGATTGCTTGTGATTTTGGTCTTGCAACAACACCAAATAAAACTATGCAAAAACAAAGCGCATTTGACACACCCGTCAAATTCAAGAATGAATCAATAACACGTACCTTGGCGGGCAGTGGCCCTCATGTGAGTATGTTGTTTAAACATGTTTTCAGTTTTCAGGGTTGTATTTCTGGTATGATTTGTGGGTTTCCTAGCCTGTAGCTGGAACCAAGGGGATTCAAGGCTAATCATCAAAAGCTGGTGGTCACTCAAGGGAATAATATGTAGTACCTAAGCATTTATCTGCCAATGGGCAGGATGCCCGGTAAGTTCATCAAATGAGCAATCGTGATATGCAGATCTTTGGCAATTTGGACGGGGCCCCTGCCCTGCTTCCTTTGTAGTTCTGTCACTCACTGTCAACAACAAAAAACAAGGGCTTGCTGGCGACCCCCGTGGCAGCGATGCCAACTTTCTGCACTGCCCAGCTTCCGTGACGAATTCGCCATGCAAATTCACGATGCCCTTCCCGACTGGGCACACCGTCTGATCCTCGCAACAGGCCGGGATCGAGCATAGGCGGCCGGAAAAAATGTCAGAAGATGTCAGAAGATAAACCAGTTGGAATGCCAGAAAGCATGCCAATGCCAGATAGAACGCCAGAACGGATGCCAATTAGATATGCCAGAAGATATATGTCTGGAAGCGACAAGGAGTGCAAAAACGATTGCCAGAAGTCATGCCAGAAAAAATGTCAGAAGATATGCAAGTGGTTATCCCAGCAAAAGACACCAAACAGTGTGTGTGAGGTCTAGTCTAGAGGTGTAGCAGCAGAAAGTCTAGAGATCTAGACGCGTCGGGGTCCAGAGAGGTGGTGGTGGTGATGAAGGTGGGGATCGTGGTGATGGTGGCCGTGAGTGTGAGTGTGAGAGTGACAGTGACAGTGAGAGTGAGAGAGAACGAGGGTGAGAGCGAGAGTAAGAGTGTGAGTGGGACTGAGTGGGTGCGTGAGTGAAGTCTGAGTGCGAGCGATTGTGAGAGTGTGAGTGAGTGCGAGCGTAAGCGTGTGTGAGTGTGAGTGAGAGAGTGAAAGTGAGAGAGTGAAAGGGAGAGAGAGAGTCAGAGAGACAGAGAGAGAGAGAGAGAGAGAGAGTGAGAGAGAGAGAGAAAGAAAAAGAGTGAGAGTGAGAGTGAGAGTGAGAGTGGGGGTGAGAGTGAGAGTGGGTGAGAGTGAGTGTGAGTGAGAGTGAGAGTGAGTGTGAGTATGAGTGAGAGTGTGGGTGAGTGTGAGAGCGTGTGTGAGTGTGAGTGTGAGTGACGAAATCTCCACTTCAAGGTTCACAACGTGCTGTGCCTGCCACGAAATTTGCACTTCGAGGTTCACAAAGCGCACCTGCCACGAAATCTGCACCTCGAGATCACAAAGTGCTGCGCCTCCTGCACTTCGAGATTCACAAAGCGCTGTGCCTGCCACGAAATCTGCACTTCGAGGTTCACAATTGCTGCACCTGCCACGAAATCTGCACTTCGAGGGTGCTGTGCCTGCACGAAATCTGCACTTCGAGGTTCACAAAGTACTGCACCTGCCACGATGTCTGCAACCTGCCACGTGTAGAAACGTCACGATTCACTGAAGGCTAAACGGAGGGTGTGTGGAGAAAGGGGGTCAGCAAAAATCGCTTATACGAAGTTAGTGCATCAAAAAAACCTTCCACGAAGTTCTGCAAAGGTTTCTGGGATTTCGTTGCAGTCAGTTCTCCTACTGGCCCACCATTCCACGAACAGTCCACGAACAGCCTTGGGTTCGCGCCTTCCACGACGTTAGTAGAATAGGTGTTTGCAAAACCCTTTCTGTGCACTACCCTTCCGTTTGCTTTGATTCACTGCACCAGTCACGAAATCAGAACGTCGAAGACCGCCCCGATGTCCAAAGTGCAGCGGTTGCCACGAAATCTGCACTTCGAAGCAAAGCCGGTCCGATCCCTTGCGCCTGTCACGAAATTCGACTGTGGACCGCCAAAGCATGAGGTTTCCCTTGCGCCTGGCAGAAAAGGCGACCATGAATGCGCACAACGAGAGAACCCGCGCGCGCCAAGCAGATTTTGCGAGCCTGCGCAGTCGAAATGCACTTCGAGGATTTTGAGAGGCATGAATGTACTGTAAATAGCATCGAACTAGCCGCACACGCCCGCGCAACACCTCGATTAGACACCGATGCTTAACCATTACCGTAAGAACCCCTACTGTAGTGTCCACGCTGTTTGGGGAAGAATGCTAGAAAAATGACAGAAGGTGCCAGTTAGAATGTCAATGCCAGAAGATATGGCAGGTCACATGTCAGAGAATATGCCGGGTAGGATGCCCGAAGATATGCCAGAAAGGATGGCCAAAGGTGATATGGCATTTAGACTGCCAGAAGATATGCCAGATAGACCGACCCGCTCAGGAGCATGTCATATCTTCGGATCATTGCCAGATTGCGTTGCGCAGCCAGACGGTGTGGCAGCCGAACATCGAGTCTGGACCAGTGACAGCTGGCAAATATGGGGCATCAGCGCGGCAATGAAATACACTTGAAAAGTTTCATAAAGTTTGAAGGCTTGTCTCCTTGCGAAGAGACATGTAGCTCGTTGAAGTCTGTCATGAGTCAATGTCTTATTTCTTCCAGGGGTCGTGCCACAGCAGTGCTGAGCACATTCCTAAAGTGTTTGGGCAGGAAAATAAAGGGAAGCCAATGATTAAATTCAAGAGATGTTGCATTGATGTTGCGCGGGAGCATCGAAGACCTATTGACAAACATCCCGACGCTGGATTTACCGAAGAGATAACCTCCTGACGACCTTTTTGAACCAAATGCCGAGATGGCTCCAGAAGCGCATGTCAAGACGTGTTTCACCCAGGGTCAAGCATGCATGGCCATGCCAAGCGATCAACATATTCACACACTGAAGGCGGCAACCCCGGTGTGAAGAACCTTCCAAATCACCTCTCGGGTGGGGATCAAAGTATCTGTTAATCCCAAGTATCTATTAAAAAAGCGGACCCCAATTAACAAAAAGTCATGTCGGACCCCCCTAAATACGGTTTATACTTGGTTTCAAATTACCCTTTTAAACCGCCCTCTTAAACCGCTACTAAACTACAAACATTGCCGGTGTTGGAGGATTTTTTTGAAAAATTAGGTTCAAAAAAACAACCGTGACTGCCCACCTCTGTCCGCCCTGTCTATCCACCATGGCACGCCGCGTTTACACCAGCAGTTTTTGCTTCCCCCAATGGCACGGACTCACACAACCGCACTTGCCACCGAGGTCAAAACCGCATGGCACAGCAACATCATCTTTCGAAAGCTTTATATAGTTGTTAGTCTAATGAAGAATCACTATTCTAATAATCCCGAGTACCTATTAATAAACACTCCCCAATTAAAAAGCACAACGTCCGAAGCCCTAAATTTGGTTTATATTAATATGTGTTTTTAAATTACCGCCCTTTCAAAACTAAACTACCAACATGGTCGATTTTGGTGGTAGTTTTTTAATTAGGTTCCATAAAAACTCCCCCGTAACACGCCGCGTTTACACCAGCAGGTTTTCCTTCCTCCAGTGGCACGGACTCACGCAATCGCATTTGCCACCGAGGTCGTGCAAAACCGCATGGCACAGCAACATCACCAGTCTAATGAAGAATCAGTATTCTAATAAAGGTTTTTGTAGGGGAAAAGGCAGACCCTTCGATCTGGAGGTTTATTGAATTTTTGATACGAGTTTGATAAAGGATTTTATATAAAATGTTTCTGGATGACTTTTTGGTTTTGAAGCTCTTCCCAGGTGACCCTATTTTGGACCCCCGGTTTCAGGGACCGTGACCCCCTAATAGAAAAAATGCAGCCAAGTTTATTTTATTAGGGAGAGGGGGGAGGGGGCCCCCGTGTTTATTATACAATAGGTGGACCGGATGAAAGGTTTTTGTAGGGGAAAAGGAAGACCCTTCGATCTGGAGTTTAATAAAAGATTTGAAGCTCTTCCCAGGTTACACTATTTTGGACCCCCCCGATTTCAGGGACCCCCTATTTAAAAAAGGCGACCGAGGTTTTCTTATTAGGGGGGGAGGGCCGCTTTTTTTAAATAAGTAGACAGGATTATACATATGTGTTTCTAGTGAAAGTGGAGGATCATGATTTCCGGATATTGCCACAGGCCCAGCTTGCTCCAGCTTCTTCAAACATGAACATGAAGGAAGTGGCTGTATTGAGTCGGTGCCAACGTGCCTCTCCGGAGGATCAGGCACCTTCATCCAAGCGGCTGGCACCCACTCGGCCCAAACGTCTGGGTTGGCCTTAAGCCAGGTGCAGGCACTCAAATACGTGTTGGTGAAGTCTTCGCCACTGGCCAATTCAAGGTGGAGCACCACCAACTTGCTCATATCGCCTTGGTTGGGCTGAAAAACTTCATGACTTCGCCTTGCCGCTGCATGGGTGAAATACCTGAGTCTTCACATTGCCCTATTTCTCCATGTTTGGCCCGGAGTTTACGGTCATAGTACACTATCAAGATCTATCAAGCACGCCTGAGTACAGAAGCCCAAAAAACACCTCGCGTATGTCTCCTAAGCAATCACACGAAAAGAGGTCCGCGAAGAGGTGAAGCTCATTCGACGGCCAAGTCACTGTCGGAGATCTGAAGGTTTCTGGCCAAACCAAAGGCTCTATCATCCGCTGCTTCAAAGCCTGTTCGGAGGGTCCGTGTCCCTTCATGAAGCATCACGAAAGCTAAACTGACATGGGCAGCTTCGGGGCTGCAAAGAGATGATGGCTCAATCAAACCCACTCCATGGGCGAAATATGACCAAGGACGCACGTGCAAGCTGAGTCAAGCGCGACACGTCAGCGCCTGCAGCAGCCCACTTCTCAAGCCTGACAGGTGTCTTCTGAGCACTACTAGCAAACTGGCGTGTCCTAGCCAACCTGCAAGGCCAATGCTGCACGTGTGTGGTCTTAATGATTGAGACTATCACATCCATCTTCCTGCTATTAGCAGCCGTCTCGTCATGGAAGCACATGGAACCTGTGATGAATTGATGAAGCCAATAGACAGGAGATTTTGGGTCCGAAAACATGATCTGATCTACGGTCCGCATAAAAACCGTTGGTCCTCCACACCCAAAAAAATACCGTATTTCTTTCGACCAACACACATGGATGCCATGTACAGGCATGGTCTCTCCTGACTCTCTCCGGCATGGTCCGGTAGATGGCAGCTCGGTACTCCGCAGCGGAGTAGGAGGGGAATTCCACCAGCATGGGTTTCAACAGTGCGAACGAGGCATCTGGAGTATACCAGTACCTCGGGCTGCCCAAAGAAAAAAGGAATCCTCTGCATCCTAGGCAACGAAATTCCTTGGATCGAAGAAAACCGTTTATCTGATATGAATCTAGTGAACCTATAGGACTGCAATATATGGTAAGCAAAGAACCTACTACTGAATTACTACGACCAGGACTAAAACGCATGCTCGACACTGCTGGGGCACATGTGAGACTTCAACTCGCTGTTTATGTCCACATAGTTGTCCCAACTTGAAGCTGTGGCCAATGCAATGGGCATATTGTGAAAAGCAGCCTGCTGCGACATAAAGTAGGTCCCCCATCCATTTCCTCCAGTGACTGAAGCCACACACCTGTAAGGATTGCTTCGGCACGCGGGTGCTATCCACCATTTCCCTTGCCAGCATTTGAGCATAGGGATGCCGCCCACAAGTTCCACACCATCAGCATCTCCAGTCGCATCAAGATATTGTTGCCCGGAATCGGGAAAGCCGATGTTAACAGAATCTGCACAAGTGCTTAGCAAACCTTGGTGTGGCCAAGGCTTCGCTATTAGGTTGGAGGCCATCGCTTCTATGTGGGAGGCCAAGGCTTCTTTCCGTTCATAGGCGATTTCTGACTCTGGGCTGCCACCCGCCAATATTTGGGCGTTTGAGAAAGGGGCTGCAAGTCATTGGATGCTCACTAGTTACACGCTCCCTACCTCAACCAGCAGCAACGAACACGACTCAGGATGCAGTTCTGTTCTGATTTTTTATGCGATACATTTCTGGCAGCAAACAACCGCCAAATCTGAGGGGCTGAAGTTCACGTCGCCCACCGTGGCGCTGCAGTTCTCAGGTGCAAACCATGTGGCATTGTAGTTCCCGTAGTAGTTCCTGAGGCAACAGTCTCAGTGGACCAAACTCTGAATCAGCTGGGGTACACCACTATGAAGGCATGCTGAGATTTATGATTTTGTGATGTGGTGATATGCTGTGTTTTTTTTTTGCATTTCCGCACGCTAGTCTGTGATACCATGTGTAGTAATTTGTCATGTGGTGCAGCTGCCCATGTGGTGCACAATGGATGTGGTCAATATGGTAATTTGTAATGTGTAATGTGGTGGCTGGTGATGGGGTGACATGCGCTGTGGCACTTGCACTTTTCTCCGGAGCCCTTCTGCTTCGAAACACAACCGCCCACCGCCCACCTGGCGCCTATTGCAAACCGCTTTGGATGCTCAAAACACGTTCAACCAATGTTCCCTGCAGCGCTCAAACACTCTCTCCCTCATTGTTTCTTGCCTAACTGGACAGGCGGGAGCGGCAGGAGTTAATATCTGAACCCTGCCAGAATGCTATCAAATCAGCAAGAACGGCGCAACCACTTGCAACAGCAACTGATGCAACTGTTTTCTTATTCCAACTGCCCTTGTAGGTTGCGCAAGGGTGTTATAAGCATCGCCAAGCCACCAATAGACAACAGTTCAGTACCACTTTCCTATGCCAACATGCCCAAGCGACAAATGCAATCCGCTGCCAGCTTGGCATTTCTCTCTCGCTTGCTCCATCACAAAAAGGCCCTCACGACCCCAATAGCCTGCAGAGCCCAGAAATCCTGAGACAAAAGACCAAAGACCGTGGGGAAAGGAACGCATACACAAACAACTGGCTGGAGAGTCTTCTGGTCCAAAACTACACCAAACCGCTCAGTAACGAAAAATTGTAAGTTCCGTGTTCCGTGGTTGTTCATTCTGTGTGCTTGCTTGATTGCGCTTCCGTGCCTGGTTCACCTGTGCTCTTCAGTGACCTTTTGAGGTAGGACCATCATGGACCTGTGTGACCAGTGGGGCCCAAACGAAGTCCAATGGGATGTCCAAACCACATGAGTCTTCAGCACTTCGATGCTTCATGGGCATCGAAGTAAGCTGTTAGGCGAACAAAGTGCTCGGTGCTTTCACATGGAACACCGCATACATACTTCAGCCTGGTGACCCACCATAAAATCCTCAATCATAAGCTGTGTCTAAGGTGGGTCAACCGCCAGGCCAAGAGCCAGGGGCCCCAGAGCCAATAAGAAGGGACCAATCTCTCTCTTCCCTGTGGCACCCAAGTCAGTGAGGGTGCGCAGGGTCTTGTTGTCAGGCCGTTGGTTTCTACAAAGGGAGGGTTCTAGATAGGATGTATACATTATATGTTGTTTTTGAATCTTCAAAGGGTTAGGTTTGTTCCATCCATCATCCATCACTAAATAGCTATAAATTGAGGAAACAACTCAATTTTATTGATTGTGGGTCCAGCATTATATTTTATCAGGCGGTCAGGTAAATGTACAAACGTTGGACCTTCCTTGACTAGCTCATCAACATTAAATACGTTTCCAATTCATTCATATCTTATGTGATTCTATTAGAACTATATTTATATATCATGGTCATGATGGCCCCTTCCAGTCCTTAATGCAATTAATGGTGCAAAATGAACTTGAAGAACCCATTAATGTTTTCAATCAGACTCTTCAAAGTCATACCCCTGCGGCTGGTTGACGACCGAAACAGGTTCCCTCTCGCAAACCTTCCCAACACCTCGCTCAACCGGCAAGAACCGATGTTGCTATTTTGCTTTGTTTTGCGTGCTGTGCCAGGTCAAGCATCTTGCAGCGTGTTCTTCGCCCATCTCAGCCAAAAGCTGTAAGAATTTGGGCAGTTTCGACTGATGCCCCCAGATCTCGAATGCCGCATGATGGCGCGTCGTCAACGAGCATTCCTTGGGACGGCTAAGCAGCAAGACCGGAAAACCCCCCCCTCTACAAACAATCTGGGCGAATATGAGGTTAAGCAGTAAAACAATGAAAAGAATGAACAACATATAAGTAGATTTCATTTCATTTAGGTCTCATTGCTTTGCATTTAGGTCTTTCAATTCTTGCTCAGCCACACTGACCATACCACATTGCACACATGCAGTCATCAAGTCGATACTGTTTTTCTTCTTTCTTCAGCTTTCAGTGTCAGTGAAACGAATCAGCGCCCCCACTGTCTCCAACACTCAATTGGACAACACCTTGATGGAAGATTTGAAATTTGAGTAAATTGGGTTGAGTTTCGAATCGCATGTTTGAAGTCTAAATCATGGCCAGCTCTTTCAGAAAGTAGGCACCTCTCAGAAAGTAGGCCTGGCATGCCGAGCCAATGCAACCAGAATCTCCCCTGCATCCAAACACTTCTGATGGTTGACACTCATTAGCGCTGTTCATCGTAGCTCCAACCAGAGCCTGTGCTTGCCCGGCGCCGGTGGACGGCGCCGGCCACCGGCAGGATATTACGGCATTGCAGCAAACCGAAATGATAATATTGCGCAAAGGGGGGGTACCACGCAGAGGGTATTATAAGCAAAGTGGGAATTAGTGAGCATGCGGAATGTTGTAATGTCCTCAAGTAGTAACATACTACCCTGTGGCCCAAGCTGTGAAGTCCCAAGCTGTGACGGCAAGTATTCAAAACGAGTTGTTTATCTGTCAGTAGTGTTTGAAGCTTTTGAACTAGCGCCAGCCCAAATCCAAACTCTTGCAAGCCTTCACGTCAAACAGGTGGGTCACGGCGTTTGAGCGGCCATTGTCTCAGTAGGCTTCAAGAAGCGGTGGAGCTCCTACATCACTACATCAAGTGAATTGGTTGCCCAGTCAAAACCAACAAGCATTTGTTAGATAGCGCATATCAAGATTATCAGATTGGCATCACACCTGAGAAACAGCCAGGCCAAGAACCGGCAGCAAAAAGATTGGAACCCCAGTCCTGTGAAAAGACCTTTGTGCTTTGAGTCGTGAGGGTCATCAAACTTCCATCCACAAGTTCTCCCCTCCTCCGACCGTTCTTCGGATATTGGCTGAGATCTGGAAAACGGACCTCCTTCTTGGCAAAGGAGCGGTAGTCCATAAGATTTCGCTCCTGAGACAAACAAGTTCAGAGCCCCTTTAGTGAGCAGTTTATACATTATCAGATCTGGGTCCTCAGCATCACTCAGCTGGTCTTTCGGATGGGACTGCCAAAAAAAAGGTTTCTCGCAGTCAGCTTTGGCTTCGGTGAAATGCACTCCAGAAAGCTGGCAAGAGAATAAGCAGCGTTCCACAAAATTTTACTGGTCCTATATGCCACGAAAAAGCTTCGAGCTCGACCGACTCCGATCCCCACATGTCGTGGGTCCATCTGCACTTCCTCGACGCTGAACTCGGGGCCCACAAGGAATGGACAACATCACGAGGGTATTCTGTCACATTATCAATAAACACAATGTCGCATGTCTCCGGATACTGTTCATAGAAAGCGGAATGCGTGGCAAACCCCGTATCGTTCTGGCGAAGCTGCTTGCCCATACTGCTGTACATGGTGCACACAGGGCCTAGGCAAGGGCACAAACACACTCACACACGTTCAAAGACCATACAATCTGACCTTCAGCCTTGTTTCCGTGTGTGCACAGTCATGCTCTTCATGTCTTCACGCGCAAAGTTTTGAGGCTTGCACTGCCACGGACGACATCAACGCCTCATGGATTCAGGCTCAATCCCTCCCAAAACTGAAGTACATAAAAAGCGGTGACAGCCAGTCAGTGTGTCGCGAAAAGATCTATTAAGTGACCAAGCTGCGTTTTGGATCTTGGCTTCATTGGCTTCTATTCAATTTGCAGAATCTCTTGTGCGTAGTGCAATAGTTTCCGCAGGGTGAAGACAAGTCCACTTCAAGGATGTCAGGAAAGTTACAAAGGCCATACGAGCGTTTCAACACTGACTGGCAATCTTCATTGATTTCACATGTCGCTTTCAACATCACATGCTGTTGAGGTGCCCTTGCGCCGTCTCCTGCGAGAAACCTTTAGGCTGCAGCCTGAAGACTCAAGCATGCCTCACTCACGAACAAAGCTGTGAGCAACTTACATCATGCTGGATTTAGAGGCACTGCAATTCCAAAAATACACATTAAACTTCATGGAGAGATGCGCTTTCAGCAGCGCCACAGCCAGAAAATGCTGTCGTCATGTTCCATTTCTATTTCTTAAGCCGTGACACCGTTGACTTGCACACTCGATCCACTTGTCGGCCCATCCAAAGGTCGCAAAAAAACACTCCTGAAGTGGCTCTTGGAGTCATCGGCCGGCTGAGGCACACTTGTCTTCGGATACTTTCTCCTGCGACATCAGGCACTCCGGAAGAAATGGAAAACGATGATGATGAAACACGGTTTGCGCATGGTTTGACAGAATTCAGAATTGAACTGATCAGTGATCAGCCCCTAACACCTTTACAAGCAGTTCCCGGGCAAGCCGGCGGCGGAAGTTTCCTATAAGAAGAATTTGACCTATAGGAGTGCCCCGGTTCTTTCCACGATGCGTGTCCCTCAGTCAGACGCACGCGCTCCAACTTTTCACCAACACAGCGCCACCTGTGCAAGGTCTGTGCAAGATCAGCAGCTCGCAACAGTGTACTGGGTTAGGTCTATGCCAAAGCCAGATCAGCAGCCCACACCGGCGTGCTGAAGCAACTGGGCATGCGCTTAAGTGCGGCTGCTGCGGGCACGCGAAGTGGGTGGTGTTTTCAAAGTCAACATAATTTCTTCCAACATTTGGTGTGCGTCTCCATGCAGGTGCACAGCGACGCACGCCGATCGATGCTGGTGCGGTTCTCTAGCTACGAAGAGTGGCGACCTGACGCGGGTCACAGCACGAAGTGCTGTTGCTTCGAAGCAAGTATTAGGTGGCCCGTTGCATTCTCTCCGAAGAATCTGCTTACCAGAACCGCCCGGCTGACAAAGTGCTGCGCCTGCCACGTAATCTGCACATGGAGGTTCACAAAGTGCTGTGCCTGCCCCGAAATCTGCACCTCCAGCTTCACCGCCACCATGATCCATCCAGGATCTACATGTTGTACCTTAGATACAGACAGGGCCCAATAAGTATGATGTTATTGGCGTGATCTCAGCTTAGTAGAGCGAATGATTGCTGCTGTATTGAAAGCGAACCCTCAATAATGTTGGCAAATTTAATTCGACTGTCAAAAAATTTTGAGACAAGCTGAGGAACCAGTACTCGAAGGATGCAACCATCTGGAGACAGACACTGCAGAACATTCAAAGGATCATCATCTGGTCCTCTTGCTTCATGCAACGCCAGTTCTCCTCCACATCATGGAATCCTCAAGTCCTGGGAAGTGGTGTTGCAATAAAAGGCCAAATGTTCACATGTGACCAACTGACCAACTCAACATTGAAAACTTATTTGACAAAAGACCCACAAACCAATCGTGTGTCAGATTAATAAAATCATCTAATTAAAAGTCTTTCGAACTGGACACAAGCTGCGCCAAGATGTCATCCCTCAGCGTGAATGGTTGGACAAATAGAGCAAACATTAAACCCAACCAGCCCAAAATGAACGCAACTAATCAAAACCGTTCGGTGGAACAAGCAAAAGCCAAGAATCCACATCTTCATGCACGAATGATCCAGGAACCCAGCGATCTGTGCTGCCATGTCTTGCGACCTTTGACAAACAAACAAAGTTCCAGATTGACAAAACTCATCGCGACAATGAGACAGTGAGCAATCTAGTCATGTCATTAATGCATTAAACTTCCCGTCATTCATGCCAAGAAACACAGTTAAAGAAGAGTGCATTGAATCTATCCAAGACACGTCGCCAAAAGGCGCTCCAGTGTCAGATCAGCAGGCGGATCTCCACCCGGATTCTCGCTGTTCCGCACAACTTAGATGCTGATCATATCACGAAGGAAGCAACACGGTTCAGCTATTGAAACAAAGCAAGAACCTCAAGGCCCCCTGCCCGCAAAAGCAAAGCGTAAATGAAACGACGCAAGACACGGGAGAACAGGAACTTCATCCGCAGGTGCTTTTTCAGGCTCCTGTAGCCTTTCAAGTCCTTCTTGAAGCGGATGATCTCGCGAGGTGCACGGGGTGTTTGCATGCACCTCGGGAACGAAAGGAACTCAATGACCAGATACACGATAATAAGCAAATCTGGTTGGTGGTTCAAACCTGCAACAGGAGACGGACAGTAACTCACCTCAAGCGTGAGTAATTAATTTTGCCGTCTGAGGTTTGCATGTCACCGCAATATCACAAAATAATGGAAGATTTCTCAAAGCAAAGCCAAGACTCTTCAACGCTTTCTGCCGATACGACAGCCCAGCGTCTGCAGGATCATCGGGCTCTTCGGAAGGCACAACCTGCCCAAAAACCGGCCTAGGCACCGGCCCAGTCGCCGGCTCTGGTACAGGCCCATCACTCCTCGAAGCCTGTGAGGATGACTCGCTGAAGGCTTCGGTGAAGCCGCGGCCTTCCCGCCTGGCTTCGACGCCGGCTTGGCCTTTCTGCTCGGCTTGTTGATCAAGATGAGCTTGACGGGAAGCTTCGGTGCCATGATCCGAACAGATACTTTACTTGATCTTTGCCGCCTCCCGCGGCCTCCCAGCCGAAGCTTCCGGTGGATGCAATCACGCACAATCAGCGCAATCAGAATCCATCAATCGATCAATCAAATCAATCATTCAATTACTCAATACGAAAGTATCGTCACAGTGAATCAATTCAATCTATCACATTATCACTATTCATCAAACAAATCCAACAATCAGTCCACGCACGTGAGATCCCAAACAAAGTGTAAACGATGCTGGTCCAACCTTGAAGATCATCAGCTAATGCCCAACAGTCGCCATCGCAAGCCTCCAGTGAACGATCAAACACTTCATGTCCTCCTTCCCACAAATTTTCAACAAAGCTGGGCTTTGGAATTCAAATGGGAATGGCCAGCAGATTCGAACCAATCGACAAATCAGTCATTAAATTTGATTGCTTATTACTTTAAATAATATGTCTTGTAGCTTGCTATATTTGGAACCAAGCTGTGGCTGAAAAAACCAGGTGCCCATTACTCTAACCCTCGCCTCAGGACTGCTTGTCCAATTGAGGCTCACGCTTTTAGGAGAAAACCACTCAGCACCTGGCTGGGCGGGCTTGCAAAAGTGCTGCAGCGGTCCGTATGTAACAAAGTACGATGACATGAAGCTGAACATCTTGGCATCACTTCATCAAAAAACAAAACTATCATGTTACGAACGCAATTGAATGCAACCCAAACTGATTTATCCGACCGATTCCTGATCGCAACCCAAACTGATTTATCCGACCGGTTCCTCATCGTTGAAGGGGTCGTTCTAAGATTCAATGCCTGTTCTACGCAATTCCTAAGCTTGTCCAACTAAAGGACAAAATTCATGCCAATGCCATGCTTCGTGGCCGGCTTGGGGTCAATCAGACCAAGACAAATCCATCTTCATCATCGGCTGGCTGCTCATGAGCCTGCTCATCTTCTGCTTGTCCTGGCCCTGCTGATGCTGGTGCTTCGCCTGCTGGAGAGGCTGCTGACGGCTGCGAGGTCATTGGCCCTTCATTTGCCACCTGCGTGGCTCCCAACCCGAAGGAATCACCCTTTCCATTCAGGGCGGAAGTAGCGTGGGCGGTGGAAGCAAGAAGAACTCGTCCAAACACCCCATCAGTAGCATTGAACGATGCTGCTCGCAGAAGACCTTGGGCCGAGCTTCAAACCTTCAAACCTTGAGAAAAATGTAAAAGGTTGAACTTCAATTGTCGGGTGACCAGAAAATAGGTGAACCATTTACTCAAAACAGGCTAGGCTGCAATGTGCGGGGCACAGGTCAAGTCCAACGTCCACACCAATCTCGGCAGCGCGTTTGCGCCAAAGCAGCAGGCCCAATTTTGGAACTCCAAGGAGTTTCCATCATCTGCCATGGGCCACTTGCCAACTGACCAAGTCGCTGGATTCTTGCTCTTTGTCAGCCTTCTAAAGGTGACTGGCCCTCCAGCGGCCGTGAAGATATCCGCCATAGCCGAGGCCCTCTGCAGAGAAGTCACTTCTTCCTGGTCAGACCCTTTCCGCTCACACAAATAGCACCATTCGTGCCACCGATTTCCACGGTGGTCTTTAAACTTCAAGATCCATGTCTTCTCACCAGCCTGGTGCACCTCCCCGTGAAGCTGTGGGTTCAGATGGATGTCCATGGCTTGGCTGGCAAGGTGAAGTTCGAAGAACTGTTCAGGTCAAAAAAGAAAATTGGTCAGTCAGGTCCGGTGAACACATTTCAAGATTTTACTGTGACGAGTTAATGTGTTCATTCATTGGTTGTCAGACTGAAGTCATAGTGCAATGTACTACTCACCCAAGACCTGATGGCAAAGTGCCGAAGGAACTGTGAAAGAACACCAAGAGCACCATCCTGGCACCTCCAGTGTCCCAGTGTACCTGTCCCCACCCTGGCGCCTCCATGCACGAGCCCCAAGGTTGCTCGCCATGCCAGCCTTTGAAAAGATTCAAGTACAAAGTCCAAACAAATTCTATCAAATTCTCAAATTCTCAAACTTAAGTCAAATTCTCAAAGTCAAGTCAGAAATATTCAGAAATTCTAATTGACTATTAACTTTCTAGCATCCTATCAACTCAATTCCCAATCCCGCCTCCAAGCGATACCAAGGCATGAAAACAGCAACGTTTGATCAAACTCGGACGCGCTGCAAAAGTGTAAGACCTATATATATGCTATGACTCCTGAATGTAATGTAATCTATAGCTTATATGTCAACGCACGGCCATATGAATGGCCAATCAGAAAGAAGCGCAAACAAAAGAAGCGCAAACCATCTCGCCTGAGGATGAAACACAGACATCGAAACACGCCATGTTCAGAAGACTCACCACAAGCGACTATACTTCAATGATCTTCAATGACACAATGAGATGTTCAATCTCCTCCGCCCCTGTCTGTACGGCGGTTCGGTCTGGGAGTTCACAGGTTCTTACGGACTCTGCCTTTCGTCTGGGTACCAAAGGCAGCCCCCCCAGAAAAAAATATTGACCAACTGAAGAAGCATGTCCAGTTCATTCCAGCTCAACCCTAGCCCTAGCCCCGTCAATCCCTTACAAAACCCTGGCTCTGGGACACCGCGAGTCATGCTCACATGGATCACTCCCCGTCGCTTGGGTGCCGATGGTCTCCCGACCCCAGGTCACCCATGGACCGGTCGAGCATCACTGAAGTTGGCCGCAGGCACGTGGGGGCACCCCAAGACCCAGTGCAGCGATGCAAGGCCATTACCTGGAGAGAATGAGTAGAGCAAGGGCCATTTCTGGATCCGAGTCACTCAAGATGAGGAGACCTGGACCTGGCTGTTTCTTGACCTGGACCGACCAACACCAGATCTTCAAACGAGACAAACACAAAATGTCTAACAGCCAATCGCCCGTCCATGGTGACTGATAATAAACCATGATAAACCATTCATCGAGGCACTCGATGATCAAAATACACTTCACATTACACATCTGTTCGACCTGGTGAGGAGCACCTCATCACCTACGAATTCATCACCTCATACCTGAGACTCAAAATGATCCAATAGAGAGTTTCACTGCCAATTCTCCTGCGTTTCTGTTGCTTCAAGGGATGTGAGGTCAGGCTTGCACTGGCATCTACTCAATTCTTCAAAGGATTGCCAGTCCCCATGAGAACTGCCGTTCGGCATCCACGCTGGGGCTGGGATATGAACAAGGATGCAAGGCTTGACCAAGGTGAGTGGATGCAAACGATGCCAACAAAGAACGGAGAAACTTCGACCGTGGAGTGCTGGCACGCATCAAACCCACCTTCACAAACTCTGTACTGCAAGCAGGGGGAAACTTGAAAGCCCACACACTGAGCTGAACACTTTTCTGTTGTGGGTCGGAGCCCGCATCGCTTGGAGCGGCCAGGTCGCCGGTATGCTTCTGCACCCAGTGGTAGCCAAGCACATCGGACACCAGAATGGCATAAATCTCTGACACTAAACGGCTGGAGGTCCAGTCGCCGACCTCACCATCTGTCGCCCGCACAGCAACGCAGAATCACCCGCATGCGCAGCAGCGGAAGATCGTCCAGGGTTGTCCATGCTGGATTACATGCGTCCCCGGAAGGTGACTGTGCTTAGGGCAGTCATCTGCGATGCACAAGTCATACAGTAGGGAGTGTGGTGGAGAATGGTGGGAGGTATTGTTTCAACGACCTTCATGCTCCACGGCAATATGCAGGTTTTAAACAATCAACAATCAATTTGGCATTCTGCGGAATTCAGGAAGAAAAGCAGCAGGTGCCTGTCCAACAGTCACGTGTTCTCTCATGTTTCTGTGCAAACTTCCTCTTTCCTCTGCAGGTCTTATGAAGTCTTCACCCAGAGACAGCAATTCCGATCGGCATGGAGACGCCGTTGTAAGTGATGTTGCGCCTCAAGAGAAGGCCAAGGCGTGAGCTTCCGTGAAGGACCGTTCTCTGACATCCCCAAAGATAGCTTTCTGGGGGCTGGGCTGTAAAGGTTCCAACCAAAACGGTCCAAACATCATCATTCTCCCGTATTGGCTTTTCACACTCTCCCAGTATGTCGGCAGTGTGTCCATGTTGTCGCCAGTAATCTTCAGATTGGCTTCATTTGATATTATATGTGATTGTTTTGGCGACTCACGGCGCAAACTTTTCCAGATCTTCCTCTAGATTCTAGTTCAAGTCAGAAACCAAGGCGGTGCTGGTGCCGGGGGGACCTAATCAATGCCAAAAGATCTGGCAACTTCTGGCCTCTCATCTTCTGGAACGGCATCTGGAAGGCACGTTTTGCCATCTGATGAATAGCCACGTGCTGCACGTACACAGCAGCAATAGAACAATAATCGAAGCACCATAACCACCACCATCACCTGGTGGCGCACAACAGTTGCAAAAATAAAACCCTCCAACAAACATGTGAGAAAATCCGACAAGTGACTCCCTGGACTTTCCTTCAGCAGTAAGCTGACACAATCCAAAAACATCGAAATGTGTAGAATTCGAACCGAACGGATGCGAACCGAGGACGCAGAGTTTGAAGAGACTTCCTGTGCCATTGAGACTTCCTGCGTTTGGTGTGAGACCCCAGCCGGCCTATGTCCAGCTGGCCTGCAGTGTTCGGCTCTCCACTGCAAGGGCTGGGCCGAAATGGCTGCTCTAACCGCAGTGCCGCAGGGCCCAGTAGTGAAGTGCCAGGGTGATTGACATCTCGCATCCACTTAGTAAGAAGTCATCATCTTTCAAACCTGTGGGCTGAGAAGTTAGTTCAGGTTAGTCCCGAGTTCCGAGTAGTTTCCTCCTGTCACGTTGAGACAAAGCATCTCAAATATGTCATGATTTGTTCCTGGATCACATCCGCCACACACAACCCAGCCGTCCCAGTGGCCATACAACACCCAGCAATACTGTGTATGTATACATATACAACATATAAATACACACGTGGGCGCTTAAGAAAAGCAAGACACAGGCCAAGCCCACGGTGAAGGCCATGACACCTCCCACTTGGACTGACGGGTCGGTGGTGGAACTTTTCGGAACGAACACAGTGGAACACATCGAGTGGAGTCCCCGTTCTCGGGCGCAGAAAGCACCGTTTGTTTTCGGGAAGTCTGCGAGAGATTGATTGACTTGTGATTGAAGTCTCGGCAGCTTGACATTCATGTCACGACGATTGCACATGTCTGCTATGGGACTGTCTGGAATGGCAAACCCAAGCTAAGAACACAACATGAGAGCCAAAGAGAGACAAAGACTGAGGGAAGCTTCCCAAAAAATCAAACACTGGAATACAAATCATTCTGATGTAGAAACGGATGGCTCCTGCTATCTGCTAAAATCCATGCCATTCACTCCCCTTCCATGATCCCGCCTAGGAAATAGATCAGCGAAGCCCAATAGGGCCAGGGTCCCGCACCCAAACGCTCCAAGTTCCGGAGGGCCTCGAGCGACGCCCAAAGCGAAGCATTTGGAACACCGAGCCGACCGGGACAACCTTCGAAGACCAAGACATCAGATGTCTGGCTGCTGTAGACTATACATACTTTTGAATCTTCTATTTGAAGTGGCTCGGGGTTTGGCCTCTCTCGGTTTTCACCAACGTTGTGCCCGGAACTTGTTTTTTCCCGAATGCGTAGCGAAGGGTTCCCGTTTATAGTTGGGGGTCTCGGGGTTGGAGCTGTGTTTGCATGGCTTGCGTCGCGTCGTCGTCTCTCGTCGTTTGTCGTCGTCGTCGCGTCTCAAATTTGCTGCCATTGGGGAAAGCTTTTGCAAGTGACTTTGCATGGATGCGTCATACGTTAGTTTGCGCCGCTATTCCATTGTGATTTGCGTGACAATGACATGTCGCGCAAGAAACGTGATGCATTTCGCTGCACAGGCGCAGAGTTTTGTGAGATCTGCAGTTTGCTGCGCAGTTCCATTGGGATTAGCGTGTGGGAGAGTCGTGTTTTTGGGGTGTTGGATGTGGCCGTGCCATTGGGATTTGCGTTTCAGGGTGTGGCATCGAAGCTCGGTTTTCGTGACAAGTCTCAGCTGAAATGCCGATTTTGGTGGATGGCAGTGTGCTCAGAACGGGTCGAAATCATTCCAAACGTGTGGTGTGGTGCAAATGAAGCTCGCATGAGATGATATTGTCACTTTTCGCGGCAGGCGCAGGACTTTGCGCGGGTTTTGAGGCGTGGAAGTGCGATTCTCGTGGCAGGCGCAGGGAATCGTGAGGCAGCGAGGTGTGACGGAGGTGACATTTCGTGGCAGGCGCAGTAATTTGCGCGCGTTAGACGTGTGGACGCGGAAAGATTCGTGGCAGGCGCAGGGAATCGTGAGGTTGTGAGTTGTGGTAGAGGTGAATGTCGCTGTCACATTGGGATTGGCGTGTGAGCGGATGTTGTTTGGAGGGGCTGGCATCGCGAAACTGCTTGGCAGGGCTGCGTGATGTGTGTGCTCCGATGGGTGTTTCCGCTTGACTTTTGGAGGAAGTCTCACAAGAGTGTCCCACAGGAGTGTCCTACAAGAGTGTCCCACAAGAGTGTCCCGCAAGAGTGTCCTATAAGAGTGTCCCACAAGAGTGTCCTACAAGAGTGTCCCACAAGAGTTTCCTACAAGAGTTACAAGAGTGGCCCACAAGAGTGTCCTACAAGAGTGTCCCAGAAGAGTGTCCCACAAGAGTGTCCTACAAGAGTGTCGTTTGGACATATGTAGTTTTTCGAACGTATTTGCATTCGGGTTCGTGGGTTCCATCTTGTTTTTTTCCACCTGACCTTCTTCTATTTGAAACCCTCCCGGCGGCAAACTTCCATACCCTTCAAATAGAAGATTGGCACAAGCAATTTTTTCTATAATAGATGTGCTTACTACAAAAGTACTGTATATATCCGCCGACCCCTGCCGAAGCAGGGGAGCGCGTCAGAGGAGGTATGCTTGCGCTATGCTTGCGCTACAACCTCAAACCCTGCGCCTATGCTTGCGCTATAACCTCAAACCCTGCGCCAGGCACCCCGGAGTTAGGGTCAGGTTAGCACCCCGCAGCTAGGGGCAGCGCCCAATTCGTGGCAGCTGCTGTCTTGACTTGAGGTCAAGGGGGGGGCGAAAGCTAGCGCTCCAGAATGGGAAAGTGGAGGGCAGCGAGGTAGGAAAAAACACGGCGCTCTTTGTGAAGAGTCCTTTATATGTGGCTCTTTGCCCGGATCCTCCTGCGAGAGAAGAGAGAGAAGAGAGACGGAAAGACGAGAGACCGAGAGGAGAGAGAGAGAGAGAGAGAGGAGAGAGAGATGAGAGAGATGAGAAAGAGATGAGAGAGATGAGAGAGACAGTGAGACAGTGAGAGAGTGAGAGTGAGAGTGAGCGAGTGCGGCCGCAAGATACGCAACGCTAACCGCATGCCAAAGAGCGACGACAGGACGGAGTCGAACTTGCGAAGAGGGAGGAGGGAGGGAAGATGGGAGGAAGACAAGGAGGAGGAGAGGAGAGGGGAGGTGGGGAGAGGGGAGGTGGGGAGAGGGGAGGGGGGGGG